GTTTTCGCGAAGGAAATCTCAAAAACGCAGCTCACCGTTGTCAACCATGGTAAAAAACCATCATTTGGGCATGTATCTTCTGAATTATCTTATAGTTATCGTCCCCCGTGCACTAATCAATTATTCACCCGAGAGACTTCAACTGAAAACCCTGACGTACGAGGTGGTGGTAGGAAGTAGGGCCGTGTTCGGAAACCTTGCCACTTGCCTCCGACACGATAGTCTGACCTGTCCAATTGCGGATGGTTGGCCCAACCTGATGGCACGGGGAGTAGATTGGCTGCGCGCAGCAAATGCCTCTTGAGCGACGCTTCACTTTGATTCAAAAAGCGCTTCGATTGCATCAGTCAATGCGCTTTCGGTCACGTTAGCCATCAAGTGACTGGAGTGTGCAGTTTTTTGGGCAATGCTCTCAAACTCGTCCCTTCACGGTGGAAGCCAGCATCGCTGATTCTGTGAATATGGACATGTTAGTCGCCCGGTGGGAACACCTAATGCAGTCGCACTCCTATCCCAGACGACATTAAAAATTCGCTCAGCTGTAGCATCTTTTATGTGCCTAACTTCCATGCCATCCGAAGGAAGTACGAAGGCTGGGATACCGCCGGATTGTGTATCCTGTGGGATCGTTGCAGCACTCAAGCCCGACCATCACGCCAAGTTGGTAGCTTTAGGTCATCAGTCACTGCAGTTCGTTTCTGCCTGCAATGCATCACCGCCGAGGTCCAGTGAACCAGCCGATCACCGAAGACGACAGGCGGATATGATCAGAAGAATTCCAAGGCCCCTTTGACTTTGTCAACTACTTGCTGAGTTCCGATTTGCCACTCATCTATTACAACCCATTTCTGGAAATCGTTGTGGTGCTGGTTGCTTCGAACTATGGAATTGGCACGGTGATGTCACATATATTTCCAGAAATCAGCCAGAATCCTTCGCGCATGCGGCAGACCCCTGACACCAGCCGAGCGAAATTAAACTGAGATAGAAAAGGACGCTTTTGCGACCGTGTCTGTCATAAAAAAATTTCCTAAAATGCTCGCCGACCGTCAATTGACCATAGTGACCTATCACAAACTACCAATTGCTGTTTTGGCTCGAAAAGGGGTTTTGGTTTATGGCGCCAGCCGCCTACAGCGATGGACTACTCTACATCTGGCATACGACTTCAATATCAAGTAACGATCCAACATCAACCTCGGGCAGGCCGAAACACTTTCGCGGCTCATTGGTTCAAGCAGGCCAGAATAAGCATACACCGTAGTAGTGACCATCGTCTTGGAACCGTAGATTCTCCCACGGACCCCCTACATGGTCCTGCTGGCTACTTATTAGGACCTTGTGCTGCAACAAGTCGTCGACTGTCACCGCGAACATTGGCCGTGTACCTGCCCAAAAGACGAACTGATACCTTACTTCAACTGACGTGACGCACCCTCACTGTTCAACGGAGTTCAGAAGGCGCTATCGTTTCTAAAGGAGTTACAACCAGCCGCTCCGTCTTAATTTCATAAAGGGCATCCAAGGATGAATGGGATGAATTCCCTTGATCGGAGTCATTTCTACTGGCTTTTGACAGACTTCCAGCTTGAGCAAGTCTCCAAAACTTGCCCACGGTGTAGTTGAGCATCCGAGTCACCCGTGAAACCTACCTACGGTCCCGGCCGCACTCGACCGAACCCCGGTATTGTCTTCACATTGACTATGCAGGTCCAGTTGTTGGCCAGCACTTCTTGAACGTGATCGATACCTGCAGCAAATGGCCGGAAATTCTTCTACTGGACGGCCGCACAACTCCCACCACAGCCCTCGAACTCTGACGATTGTTCAGTCACTTCCGAACACCTGCGACTATTGGGTTCTACAGCAGCAGCCAGCCAGCGTTCACATAGTTTTGTCAGGAGTATAACATAACTAATTTCCTCTCACCGCCGTTTCATCTGCAGTCGATTGGCCGGGCGGAACGTTTCGTTGACACTCTAAAGCGTGCTATTCGGAAGTCCAGAGAAAAGGGACCAGCGGACGAGATTTTGCAATGGTTTCTGCTGGCAGTCCGAATTACGCCAAACCTCAGTTCGCCTGATAGGATGTCACTAGCGGGGACACTGCTCGGAAGGAAGATGCGAATGCCGCATGATGCTATCCGGCCACAGAAGAGGCAGTTATTCAAAGCAAAACCATAATGGAGTATCAGCTCAACCGGTATCATGAGGCAGCCGCGCGCTCATTCAGCAAAGGCCACAAAGTGTTCGTCCGTAACTGCAGTGGTAGATATTCTGTGTGGATTCCAGAAGACATCGTTCTCCGGCGCGGCAACGTGTTTCATGAGATTCAAGTTGGGCCAGCCAGTGGGATTGGGCACATCAACCAAATCCGGCCGACAGATGCGCAGATCTTGTCCACAGGATTGAGTGAGTTGAATCTAGAGATGCTTCTGGGCATTTGTGATATCGGCACCATTGCAGAAAATCGATCAGGTGCTCCGCCGGAAGCCCAGGTAGATCGCACATTACGGCCGAGACGTTGAGCAAACGGTATCATTGAGGCTATTGCAAGTAAATCCCCGGTTTCGAGGCAACATCAACAAACTTTAAGGTGGAATTGTCAAGAGAACTCACACGTTGCGCAGTACTCGCACAATGCAGTTGTTTTTTTGAAGGTTGTGGCGCGTGCCTGATGGACTAAAGCAATCGGGCGATTGAGTTGAGAGTACCGGTCCAAAATTTGAAACTCTATTTTAGCATTCCTGGGTCTTAGCAATGCTGGAAAACATTCCACAAGTCTTTCCAGCCAGAGGCATGGTTGCTTCAGTGAACAACGAAATTTGGTAGGCTGCAAAAATATGAAAGTAGATTAGGACGATTTTGGTTTGAGCACACAGGCAACAAGACGCAAAATTTCGGCGAAGAAAGTTTCACTCCACTTGTAAAGGTTTTGCAGTTGAGGGCATTGTGCGGATAATGGGCAACGAATGGCGCTGATACCACTTTGCCACTGTAGTTGTCTGCCTACCCAGTAAGTTATTTTACCAGGAGTGTGTGGCAAAGAAATAAAAATAATAACGCAAGGTTGGATATACAATGAGAAAGAGGTCAGATGGAACAGACTCACTGACAATTGTTCCCTTTAAAATAGTTCGTCGTTGGCCCAGGTCAGCGAATAAACAATAATCCAATTATGTTGGTCCAGAGGTCTTCTTCTGAACAGTTCCCAGATTCCGAAGATGGTCTGAGAAGTTTTGGTGCCAGAGTTAGTACATGAGACTCGCGAATGACCGCTATAAGCGCGAGCGAAATCAGAAGAGAGAGTTGAAGCACGTGACCACGCTTGTATTGTGTGAAATTGTACAAGTGCACGTTTTGGTAGTTTTTCGTATTCAAACAAAAAACGATTATGCAATTGATGAAATACGTAGTGTCATAATGGAAGTAAAATAAAGGTACAAATCGCCACACCACCCACAGTTAAGCGTTGCTTGGGCCAAGAAGCCTAACCCGCCCAAGTTTGTATGAAAATTCGGGCAGATTGCCGGTCCCTCAGTAAGGCGAACTCTGCTTGTTCGAAAGCCTGGATCCAGCAGCCAATGATGACCCAGTAATGGCCGAACTCCGATTGCCATTGGCGCATCCAGAGGTCAGCATTCGGGGTTGTCGCCGCATACGCTATATATAGCGCACGTGGAACTAATGCAGTATACATCAGCATCATCGACAGCATGACATCAGTGTTCAATACCAATGATCCACTACCGTACAACCATGATTTACTTGAAAGCCTTATTGTAAAGAAAAGAGTAAAGGTGGACGTGGAAGAGACTTCGTGCTAGCTTACCACAATCATTCCGATGTGGCTGTACCTCCAGACACTCACTCAGGCGATCTGGGTAGAAACTGACAACAAGAACGCCACTGACATTGTTTGGCAGCCACATCTTGTAGTGTCTTCAACCAGGCACAATGAAGATCACGCGGTCCCCATCCTGGAAGGCGAGCAGCATCGACAGCACCCAAGCGTTTCGTGATCTCCTTCATACTCCTCTGCTAGGTCATCGGTTGGCCACCTCTCTGTTTACGCCACTCCGAATTGGGCGTGGAAAACAGTACTCTCTTCGGCAAACGATGGTTCGGCATGCGTAAAACATGTCCCAACCAACGCAGCTTGTGGTGCTGGACACATTCTTCAATGGAAGTACCCGTTGCACAACCGAAAACACGCTTTCTAACTGCCTCGTTACGGATTCGCTGACACCAACCCACACGAGCTATGGTTCTGAGACAACGATTGTCGAACACCTGAAGACGTCTCAGTTCCGGTGCTCGAATAGGCCAAGTCTCACAGCCATACAGCAAAACAGCCCGTACTGTAGCTTGGTACACACGTCCCTTCAGATTCAGGGATAAACCATTCTGATGCCACTGGTGTCTCAAGTTAGCAAACGCGAGCCAAGCCTTGTAGTTTCGTGCATTCACCTCATCTGTCACACTGCAATCAGAACTAATACAACTTCCAAGGTACGTAAAACGCTCCACAACTTCCAGTACCTCTCCCTGGATTGTAAGGGGCGTGTTCAGTGACTGCACGTTCACAAGCATGACCTTACACTTTGTGGGTGCAAAGTGCATACCAAAGGACGGGATGACTTTGGTCAGTTCATCCAAGAATACTTGCGCCTTCTCCTCCTCTTCGAACATGAGACCGATGTCGTCTGCATATTCCAGATCGACAAGATTTTCTTCACAGGCTATTTGAACACCAGGGTTTCGGAGACCATCCAGCAATCGTCTCAGTATTTATCGATCTCGAAGTGTACAGTGTCTGTCAATTTGGTTGATTTATAGGTAAGTGTTGGTGATGTACAACCTTGCTTACCGGACTTCGGCTGATGAGCTTTGTCTCTGTTTTCCATCCGTAGAAATTGCCGTGGACACTTCCCTTCGATGAAACGTTGTCCTCTGCTGCGTCCATAGCGTATATAGTACATATTTGGCGAGTACGCCAGGATGGTTACCACTCATGGTAGACCTACCACAAAGACTCTGGCTCTACACAGGTGCGTACAGGCCTCAGAGCTAATACGTTGCTTAATCACACACTGTGGACGCTGGACACTGCTCCAGACAAATTAACCTTTGCACACGCTCATCAGCCTCACGCACCACAACACTAGCACTGGCCGGTTCACATGGGCCATGGTACAGCCTTGCCTACTGGGCTTCGTCATCATCATCATCGACAGCATGACATCAGTGTTCAACACCTCTGATGAGCTTTGAATACAGCATGCGTAACGGTCGCTTTTGTGTCACGAGTGTCAGCGAACCGAAAACTTTACCCTGGAATTCCCCATTTAGGAAGTTATTTCGTCTGTCGCCAGTCTGCCAGGGCTTACGCAGCTGTCCAGGTAGACAAACCTATCGCACATCGGCCTACGGGAATTAAGTTTGGGTTTGATCGCCCCCTTCTTGTAAAAGGACTTAACATTTCATAGGTGCGGAGCGCATGTCAGCTTGCTCCGTCTTCGTTCGCGACCGCCCCAGAAGTGTTTCAATCCCTGAAGAGTCAGAGGCAGGTAAAAAAATCTCAAGCAGGATATCGATTTTGAGGTTAAAGGGGAAGGATGATACAAGACACTCCTGCTACTCCATTGGATGATGTGAACTCAGGCGTAGACATATACGGGTCCACTTGAGGAGGCCTGCAGAGCCTTCATAAAATTAATGTAGAAGAGATACCTTTCATCGTCAAACTGCCACAGGTCCTGACGATCAGCGGAGTCAAGAGTAGATCTGACATCGAGAACAACGGTCATTGTTGGTCGTCGGGAAACAGTGGCGTAATTAGAGAATGAAGGTGTGGTCATTATGGGGAACCCAGAGCAACCCGTCACCTTGTTTCTCTTCGAGGATCCACTGTTCATTTCCATCTGTTCAGGTTTATCACTTTCACCTCTGGCTCGTTCCTATTAGAGATGTCAGCCAGATATCCTATGTTGTCCTTCATCTTTAAACTTCTTATCGTACTATCCCTATCAATTCATTTAGCGCTTCATTTGAACTAGCTATTTATTCTCTTTTCCTATAAGAGCCGTTTATTGACTATCATCCTTTGTATTACGCAAATCATAAAAGAATAATAACCAGCTGGAGAATCGAACTCTGAATGATGGCGCAACCTTTATAAGATGATGCCAGAAAGCGTTTTTGGAAACTGTGGTCACTAAGCTTCTTCAGTAGTTTTCGCTCAATGCTCTTACACTCTGAATTCGAAAATCATTGAGTTGCTCTATTCTGTCGGTATTCTGTCATCGTCCCAGATACTTCGGAGTAAAATCAGGATAGTCACGAGGGATTCACCCGACCTTGACTGTCTTCTTGGACTTCTGTTAGGATGGAGAAGAAGGACTGGTTCAATCTAAAATACTCATGCAGAGCATTTGGAAGAAGAACGAAGTGACACAGGAATAGCAGTTGTCTTGTTTTCAAAAAGGTGTTGATCTGGATGTTAGAATCACCTAGGTCACTTTGGTCACCGTCGCTTCGAAGCTGCTCGTGGGCTTACTGGCTCTCGCGGAGAACCGAATCGTGGAAATCAAGCCGGGTTCTACCTAGACTCAGATGTCTGATCCACGGCCCAGTGAGATGACGTAGGGGCTTTGCTCGTAGACTCTCATCTCAGTGCTTGATTCAAAAGCCCGAACCTCGACGTATCGGTTATTGAGATTTTCTTAGTTAACCCATCCTTGAGACACTGAGTGAATAGTTTGGCCCATTCAACAACGAGAGATTGGCGGAATCCGAATGCGCAGATGGTAAGGCTTATGTGTCTGCCTTCATCAGATGAGTTTGGAACCTCATCGGCCTCGAAGTAAGATTCATTTCTTTCCCGACCTTACTGGACAACCGTTCGTAGTAAACTCCATCTACAACTTCCGACGGGCACCATTTCCTTCGTGTTTTGGTCCCTATGGAATGAGTTCCCGAATTCGGTCCGCACTTCCAGCTACGTTGTTCCTTCTCTGAAATACAAAATGACCTCAACTTTTGTTACAACACCCTCTACAGCAGATCTCCATAGTAGCTTTTGAAAGGTATGTCAGTGATCACTGCGGGGAGTTCTCTTTTCTCGGTCCCTAGACTTTTGGAACCTTCTATTTGAAAATCATTTTGAATCACTTCCTCTGTTCTTCTTTCCAGCTGACACCAGAGCACTTCTTGTTGAAGTGATTAGAACCTTCTTTACTATCCTCATTCTAAAGTATGCCGGATACGGCCACCGGAGATGGTGGTGGATGTGCCGAATATTTGGAATCCTCAAATTCTCACGCCGCTTCGTTTGCAGAGGTTTGTGCGTTGTATGATTGACACTTCCTTTACTCCAGATTGTTTTGGAACCGTACAATTATCTAATAGGAAATGTGAAGAAGGAATGGAGAAGCGAGCTCATCGGTGCCCTCAATCACTGGATGAACGTCCCACCAGCTCCTATTAAGGCCATCGCGGAGGTCATCCGGATGCTGCATAATTCCAGCCTTATGTATGTTCTACCTTTTGAGCTTTACCCTTAGTTTACCTGTTTATCTTGTCCTGTGACTCCGCAGCCCTTAGATATTGAAGTCGATGCGCAAGTGGGTAGCTTTTCGGATGCAGAAGTAGACTCATCCTCTACAAGGATTGAGTTCAGTTCCTCTTTTTCGTTCAATCCACATTAGATCGCGTGCTAGAAGTTACCGTAGGGCGTTCATAGTAATGATGTTACCATTGCTTAGTTCAAATCAGTTCGATTTTTACCTTTATTTGCAGTCATTGTGCTCAGATTCGGACTAGATCGGCGTACAATCTAATAACTCATTAGTTAGTGCCTACGGGTTAAGATCAACTTGTTCCTGTGTCCGGATTTCCTCTTCATGAGTTTTGTGTTATACTGTCTTCATTACTTATTCTGTTACTATCATATATTTCTGTTACTATTTAACTATTTTCATCATTATTATGAGATTGGGCGATTACAGAGGAAGAGAGTTGCTGTTCAGCTGTAGCACCGTTTCGGCACCTAGCTGTCATGCCACCCGAAAGGAGCACAGGGGCTAAGATAATGTCAGGTCGTCCAAGCCTAGGCAGGGCAAGTCTAGAGGCAGAGGTCGGGTTCGAACAGGGGACCTTCCGGTCAGGAAATTCGCACTGTCACCACTGAGCCATCTCGCCCCGTATTTAGAGTGCTCCGTATACCCAAAAACGTTGGAAAAGTGAACCGCACGGAGACATCTATGGAACCAATTAGTACATACACACCAGAGGCTCATTTGGGAATGAACGCATAAACGGTATCCCTTGCTCGAGTAAGCTCAGTACTTAAGGAAAGAATTTACCGGAGGGTCCTTGGTTGGAACCCAATTTCGGCATCTCGACTGCTCCAGGCTAGGGTTGAGTAACCTTGTACTATCTTCCTTCGGGTGAAATGGCAGCTGTATACCAAAGGGGTGTTAGAGCTGGATGATTTAGCAAACTTGTAGGGACGATAGGGATAGTACTGTTGGAAGTGTGAAGGTGGCGGACAACATGGACTATCTCGAACTGACATCTCCTTTAGCAACAGTGATAGGTTAGACGTAGAGATGATACACTTGGACAGATGGAAGTGAGCAGTTGACGAAGAATGGTGACTGGTTGGACGACCTGCATCCTACGAAACTAGCCAAAATATTTCAGTGAGTCCTAATGGGTCCCCGTACAGAATGAATTTGATGTAGCGTTAAGTGTTTTCGAGGCTCGAAGAAGAGGCTTTCATTGTTGGAGATGTGAAAAAGAGGCGAACAGGGAGTGTAACGATGAAGAGTGATATTGTTATTGATTGATTGTCATTGATGCTAAAAACTACAAACGGGCGATTGTCAATGTGTAGAGAGGGCTAAAACCGATTTTGGAAAGACTTGTAGTGATTTAACGGATAACCTAGAGGACCCTGTTCACAGGCATATGTAGCATTTGACCCCCGAGGAAGCTGTCAATCCATTTTGTCAAGTTTGAATCCATTCCACACATCGGAAGTTTGGCAAGAAAGTGAGCGTGTTAGATCTAGTTGGGAGCTCCTGGACGATCTCAATACCTGCCTCGTTTCAGCTAAGCAAAGGTGTTCATATAGTCGTTCAGCTGTAGCCCCTTTTGGGTGCCTAACTGCTATGCCACCCGAAGGAAACACGAGGGCCGGGATACTGCCTAAATCTAGACAAAATCAAAATGCAGGGTCGGGCTCTAAACATGGACCTTCCGGTCGGTGAATTCGCGCTCTAATCGCTGAGCCATCTGTGTGTATATGTGCCAGTAGATCGTCCATGAAGTCATATGATCACTCTTCAGTGTTAACTTCAGTATCTCCCTGGATTGGCTTCGCGACAGTTTACTGAGAAATACAGGTTGAAGCAGGCCGTCACAGAGGTGGAATGTTTACTGTTTAGGTTAAATCTCGAGCTATATCTCGGAGTGGGTAATACATGACATACCTTCCGGATGGTTGAAATAGTGACAGTATTGAGAGGGAGCCGTCCGAAAGGATTGGTACAATATTTTGAGCATCATTGCTAAACCAAATCAGTGGGCTTCGAAGTGTTCATTGATGTGTATTTATGCTTCACCGCTAGTGTTCCACAGGTTTTAGTTTAACAGTGGGCTTCAACAGATTCTGGTTGCTGACCTTCTGTGACTTAATGCCTTTTTCGATTGGGGTGTTTATTTACCTGCTCGTGTGTGTGTGGAAACAAACGATCGCGTCTTCTTGATCGGCTAACAGATCTGCTTTTTCAGGCGGCATCCGCAGTAACCAGGACCAGACGTGCCAAATCTGGTAAAACTTCACTTACACCATACATCGTGGTTGTTGGTCTGTTCGCCGAGCTTAGCAACTGGATCGCGAGCGCCTCGTCACTAATCCGGATGATATCAGTCGACCTCCACTGACGATTTGACGAGGAAACGTTTGCAATCTAACTGGCCAGCTAATCGGACAGACCAACAACCAATCAATGCATCCGAGCTACCTATATTCTGCAACATCGCAGAAGCAAAGCATATGCAAGAAGCTGATTTCGGAGATATCTGAGGAAATCCATCATCGGTCCTTTCCCTCTTTTTCTTTTGTTACATTAAGGAACAAATAGCCATATGTTCTTAGCCATTCAACTTAATTTGGAAACAATGATTCAATTCCATTTAGGTACAAGTTGTTAGAGTAGAAAATTAGGTTGTTGAAAGCCTGGAAGCTATGCTCGCCTGATGACCCTCAAGTAGGGTGAAAGCGGTGGTGGGCTGTCGAGGAGTGTTCATAAGTCTTATGTTAGTTTGTGTCTATAAAAATTATCCAAACGTGTTCCAAACCCCAACCTGAGAGTTCATGAAAGTATTCGTCAGATCCCTCAGTCGACCAGCCTGACGGGAGAAAATCTGTGGATTCTGCGTCGCTCGATTTGCTACTCAAATACAAGAAAACGTTTCACTAGTCTCTATCTGTTCGCGTGCATGGTGAGTCAACCGACAACAACCGATTTTCCCCGTTGCGGTTTATTTCATTTGAAACTCCTGCTTTAAAGAAATGCAGCTCAAGTCGCAGTAATCTTCCTCTCTCTCTCTAAGATAGTCTCTTCTACTCTCGAACGCTTTTTTTTTACGCGAAATGACCAACCATTGTCCTATCGCATTTTGTAAATTATATCCCAACCAATATGCCTAGGGTATCCTCAGTTACCAAATGATTGGAAATTTTGAAATTTCTTTTTCATCCAGCATTGATGATATCGAGGACGGCTCTCTACTGCGACGTGGGAAACCAGCTACACATTGCATTTTCGGAACTCCTTCGTCGATTAACTCAGCAAACTACGTTTATTTCTTAGCCTTGCAGAAGGTAATCGAACTGGAACGACCGGATGCAGTTACGATATTCACGGGTACATTTCTTCCTGTGTCTTGGTTTTTTTTTCAGTCAGAACGCGCAGGATGCACTTCTTTATTTCTTGATTTGCCAGCGTTGTTGTTTATTGTCCGTGTTTCACCAAGTTGCCTGTATGGAGTTAACTCCACATCTCAATCTCCCTTCATATTTCAGTCATTAGCTGTTTACAAACTGCACATCTTAGGCACTTTTCTTTTACTTAACTTCTGTGGTCCTTATCCACCAAAGCGGAGAGTTGTTTTGCATTCCTCTCACTCCATGTGGTTCGTCCCTAGTTGGATTGCTCAACCTTCCACCGAAGTTTGACGTATTCCTCTACTTGTCCTGTAACGCACAAGATCAATGTCTCCTAAAGCCCATCCCTGTGAAATGAACAATTAGTGAGACGGTAATACAAGGCAGTCCACTCGCAAACGTATGACAGGTTTCCTTGAATAATCCCACAAGCATTGTAAGATTGAAGGTGACTATTGCAGCGCATATAGGGATAAAACGTCATTGATTTGTGATGGGTCTTCTTGTATACGCTCTAATCAGTATCGAACATGGGCGGGCTCCGCAGGATCGTGAACGCAGAAACGACAAGCAATTTGAACTACCGCTATCCTTCCGTCCCAAGGGTTATTGAAATAACCGGTCAGAGCAAGACCAGTTCACAAATGAAGAAATAAATAAAGCCCCGTTTTCTTTTCCTCAGCCTTATGGTCAATATTCTCACTACTTCGCTCTGTAACTAGTAAGGGTGATTTTCCCTGTTTTTGATTTACTGGATTCACGTATCAATAATATTGGCTACTGTCTCCAGTGTGTTGACACCCACAATTGTTCTCAGGTAGTCAGCGGACGAAACTGTGGCAGCTAGAACCACTGTACAACATGTGCCCGGCTTAAATCTAATGGTGAGCTGTTCTCGTACATTCAGTGGTTTTCGCCACTTATAATAAAGTCTTATTTTGGACAGTTTCCGAAATATAGAGAGGGAACATGTCGTCCTTGGTGTTGTACCACCGCTTAGAATCTATGAAAATCTTGGGAACGGGGTTATTCCATATTATGTTCGTCAAAGTCTTTGAACGATTTCTCTATATTCGCACCCGGTGTTAACATTATAATAGACAATCATAATTTTTCAGACTTCCTTGTTGGGCAGTCTGCGTAGCTGTGCTGTCTGTGTATTATTGCTCTCTTGCCCCCTCTCTCTCTCTTTGTCGCAGAACAAATGTTAGAACTTCATATCGGTCAAGGTATGGAACTTTTCTGGCGCCATTCCTTCCGATGCCCTACAGAAGAAGAATACTTTGCAATGGCATTGCGAAGTAAGCTGCTTCCTGTGGTATAGGCACTTATTTTCATTACAGTATTCACGAGTTGTATAAATACATTCCAAAAAAAAACAGAGTATTCCTCACCAGAGGCCATTTTTCCGTGCTTCCTTGAAGCTTATTCAACATCGTTGAACTAATTCAATTGAGACCGCTTTCGATTGGTCTCTTTGGAATGCTCCAATACCATCGGAAACGTGATCAGAATAACGAGATAGTATATCATCACAGTTTTTCTCATGTGTTCCCCTGGCAATTTTCAGCACAATAAGTGACAGTAATAACTAAGAGGGCAGGTCATCTAAAAAGTGCATCGGCTATAAGTTCTCAGTTTGATAGTAATTTGCGTGATATTCACCACTCCAAATTGGTGACCCTTACGTGATCTGGAGGAATGGCCTAGTTTGAGATTGTTGCTGACCCGTTGAGTTTGAGCGTTTTTTTCTTAGAGGTCAGGTTTGCACATACATTTGGATATCATCTTGGTAACAGTAGGTGATTTAGCTCGCGTGAAATTGAAGTGATTTATGGAGGAGACCTAGTGCACTACTTAAAAGGTTCCAGTATGATCAGAATTGATCAGATTGCCAACAAGGAAAGTAGATTTGTGCACGGGTTAGCCAAACTGATCAGTGTTCACGGATTTTATCCGACAACGGGCTCGTTTTACGATCGATTTATGGTTATCTGTATGGGCTTTCAAAACAGTTCACGGCAAGGCTTGTTGTGCAACATTGTCCCTTACTCTCATGCTCACAATAATAGGTCTCCATTGGAAGTTTACTCGTGAATTTGCTGCTACAGAAGTAACTTCGTTTGGGTGTTTTCGCCATATAGTTTCGCTTGCAAGCCCACCTTTGAAGGTAAAACACATGTATCAGCTAGTTCCCTTTTTAGCATATGGTAATCTCGGCATGTGGTGTACAAGCCATTTTAACTCAAACTAAAAATATACTAACAGCAGTAAAGCAGTAAACAACCCCAAAACACGAGACGAGGCCAGACGTGACGCGTGAAATTCAATCACAACAAGAGGTTGGCCAGTCAGCTTGACAGAAGTGACACTCCTACCACTGTGGAAGGAGCTTACCGTCGAAGCTAACACCGATTTGGAGTAGGTTGGAGTGCAGACTGTCTAACACTGCGTTCGTCGCCACGTCCACTGGTGCAGTTTTGGTTTTATGCTGTTCGTGCTGACTGCGTCACCATCGAAGGGTTGGCGGCAATCGGTCTCATTGTAGGTGGCTCACATGTAATCCTTACGATGAAGATTTTCATGAATGCGTGGATTTGGAATCGACTACCCATCTGCGATTCCAACACTCCTCACCATCCTACCTCGGTGATCCAAACCTATGACACCAAGACTGCTTCTTAGATCATGAAGGAGTAGAATGTTCTCGTATAGAAATATCCATTCCTCCTATCTACTCGGCCTCAGTTAAGAAACTGTGTTTTTAGCTACTCAGTCCATCAGCTGAGCTGTGAATCGTAAAGCTAACAAGTAAAAATTTCTGCACTTTGAGAAATTTCGTTCCTACAAGCTATGGGTGGCCCTTGTGTGGACGTTCTCCACTGGGCATCTCTGAAAATACTTCCGAAATAGAAGCCGAAGGAATACGGCATATTTTAGGTTCTATCCCCAGTCCGGCTAAAAACAGTCCTGGAACCATAAATAAAATCTATTGTGTCTCACTGCAGCTGACTAAATGGTGAGGTGTTTGCGCAGCAAACACTGGATCGCCGCTCTTTGTGTTTTTGTTTAACCTTGCCAGAAGGCCACTGCTGGTTTGCGAGAAAATTTCCATTAGCCATTAAAAATGTTCTTGGACCACTCAGTCGCTGGTATCCCTGGGAGAGTAGCCGACTGATTGTAAGGGGAATTCGAACCATTATCTAGCAAGGGCTTTGCATAAATGCTCCACTTGAAGCCTTCTGAAGCTTTGTCATGCTAGCTGATGTGCACTCAAGGCCACCGGATTGCACAGTACTTGCTGAAAAACGGTGCATAGGCCTTCCACTGTATGCACGCGGATATGGCTTTGTCATTCGTCCGTGCGTTTTACCATTAGCCGGTGCGCCTTAGCTGACCAGTTCGGTGAAGGTCTGTTTTCAATCTTTTCAACCCCGGCGACATGTACCTTTAAATTATGAGTTTTGGTATACACACACCATGTAAGGTACAACAGATGATGCGATCGTTTCTTCCAAAAATTGGTTACTGTATGCTTTCTCGTCGTATCGCCCAACCGCTGTACATTTTTCATGATTCACTTTCATCACATGTCGTTTGGGTATGTTTTCTTGGTTTTATGTGGCCTTGAAGATCAGCGTGCAGTCAGCCAACAGTTCCGTTGAAGCATGACACACTGCTTGGGTCAGATCTGTGGATCTCAGCATCTCTACCACCTCTCTCTAGGCTTGGACAACCTGTTTCTAATAATAGACTTTCGTTGCTTTGTCTGGTTCGTGATTGCTTCTTGACTTGTGAGTTTGTAGTGAGGTGCTCAGCCGTAGTGGTGCGCATACACAGTAAATGATGGAGTGTGACGTTTAACCCCTTGTACATAATGCTCTGTTACGACATCAAAAACGCCCTGAAGTACGAGTATACAGGATTCGACTTATGCACTCATCTGCAAACCACTTTAGTTTTGACGGAAGACTCACCTGCAGTCCGGCTTAAGGACATCATAAACGAGAGGTTCAGCTGGGTTCCAGGTGAGTCTCCCGCGAAACTAGATTGGCTTGTAGATGCGTGCATATCGCTAATTTCGTGCAATTTAGGTTCAAGTAGAACATAAGGTAGACGGAAACTCGGGGGACTGTGCCTATCTGATGAGCTCCAATAAGGGCAAAATCGGTCGTGGGCTGTCGAAGAGTTTTCGGAAAATTTGGGAGTGTATTACGTCGACATATAATTCGATCTGTCCGGCCTGTAGTGTTTTGGAATATAGACCGGTAGTAACCAGTCGTTATATCTTTCAGCACTGGTTGGTTCAGTTGTGTTTTTTCTGTCTGATTTGCTCGTTGCGTGTCACATCTGCTTATATTTCCTGATTCACCTACATGCCTAAACACATACCCCATCTCAGTTAAGCAATTTTACGATAGTGCTTCAAGATCGATGGTTGGTTGAGGTCAATGGTAAATTGTCGTGTGTTTTTTGCAGAGACCAGTGGACTTTTCGCCCTGGCCTTTCGTTTGATGCAGCTGTTTTCTGAGAATAAAGAGTAAGTATGCTTTATTTGAAGTGTTACACTGTCTCGCAACTCTTCCATGTCACTTCTCCATTGCTCGTTGCAGATCCTTCTAGAATGTGCTTGTGTTCGTCGTTCCCGTAAACCATGGGTCTTTTGTCTCGGATCCGCTGACTGAATCCAGTCGGCAAGTTCCCTTGTCAGACCAACAGTAGTCTAGTGCTGAAACCACTTTTTCTTCGATGAGACTCGTCGAAAGGTCGGTAGATTGTGAGTGTGCAACCATTTTAAATAGACCAAGTGAGTGTGGTGAAGCACCACAGTCTTAACAAGTAATCAGCTGACTGGGTGGTTGGAAAGTCAGGTGATTGGAGACGAAGCCTCTGCGTTGAATGTAGCTCCATCTCAGCTGGTTTTGTCACGCGATTCCGTTTCAGAAAAAGTCACAACAAGCAACATGAGTCTACCAGAGATCTCCAACCTTCTGTTTTTTGCCAGAGTTTTTCCGGCTAAATGAGGTCAGTTAAGCGAATTCTTATTACTCCGTGGGTTCCTGTAAATTGTACGCCCTTTGTCGGGTGGAGCACTGAGGCCAAACAAACCTTTGAGTGAAGACGTAGTGGCCCCACTGACAGCCATACAAACTTCGAAATTTGTTACAATAACTTTTGTTTATGACCCGAACTGCTGATCAGCCATTCAAGGCCCAACAGTTTAGCCTTCAACTATTAGCCTGGAATGTTCCACCTCGATTCCCCTTAGATATTCGGGAGTTGCCCACTTTCGATGATTCACAAGTGGTAAAACAGGTGTACAGCGCTTCTCGGCTTTTAGGCATAGAATAACTTGAACTGCAGGACGACAGCTCAATTGAGGATTTCAACACATGCGTGTGAACTCAAACGAAACTGCACGGGATACTACAGAACGAATTGTGTTGATGAAATCATGTTGGAAAGTTGTGTCCCAGAAAAATAATGTCCCATTCCTATCAAACACCTCAAGAACCAAAGGAGCGAGGTGAATCGCCTCCGAAAAGCGCAATTTAAGGTTGCAAATTGTCACAGGCAACTCCCACAGTTTAGTCTCTGGAAGTCGATGAGACCCAAAAGCATAAAGTTGATAAAAAAAAGTCTGTAAACTTTATGTAAACTTACGACCATTAACAATGTGGCCTGTTTTCTCAGTATCCAGTCTTTAGGTCTATAGTTCCAACAATGCAGACAGATTCGATTGTATCGTACGGGACTAGCCAGCCGTTCAATCGTTCATTTGCAAACACCCCTTTGGTGTCTAACTGCCATGCTATCCAAAGGAAGCACGAGGGCTGGGATGCTGCCAGGTTGCCCAAGCTTAGACAGGGAAGCCGAGAGGCAGAAGTTGGGTTCCAACCACGGACCTTCCGGTCAGGAAATTTGCACTCTTACCACTGAGCTATCTTGCCAGTACCAACAGTTACGTAGTCCTCGAATATGTTGTTTATATTAGAATCCCTGGATGTTATCATTCAATTGAGGCGGCATCTTCGGGGGTGAGGTTGCCAGACTGTTTTCTCGTTGAAGGGGAGTTGAGTAACATGCTTTATCCACTAAACTAGCGAAATATGTGTTCTATCAGATTGCCTCAAACAGCTTGTGCCGTGAAATATTTTGCTTAAACTGCGCGGATTTGCCCCGGATGTTCAATACTATCCCACGTCTGATACATAGGCATCTTTGTGAATCTGTACAGCGTTCATTGGCTTGTGTGATCTGCATCAGTCATTCCAAATATTTTTGTGCCATCCAGGTGGACTGGAATAACACTTCAGTCGAATGTGGATTAATGCAGACTTACTGAATTCGCTAGGCACTATTATTATTATTCTTACTCCAGGCAAACCACTGACACTGATTGTTTTGATATCATGCTTCTTGTTTGCAGAAATTACAAGCCCCTTGTCGATACGTTGGGTTTGCTATTCCAGATACGGGACGACTATGTGAATCTGGTGGACAAATCAGTGAGTTTTCAGCATCCACATTTCCTATTTTTGCCAAATTCCAGTCGGTATCCTCTGTCTTCGTATGATTTTGTACTGTGATATGGAGCTTTTGTCGCTATGACTCCGTTATAAACAACATTCTTGGGACAGAGGTTGCGTCTTTAAAACTGTCGATTTTTACTTTACAAGGCCCTCTGAATATCGTATGACTGAGATAGCTTAGTGGTTGAGGAACGAGACCGCTGGTCAGAAGGTCCGTGATCCGTGAGTTGATTCTGTCTAAGCTCGGGCAATCTGTGCTCGATGCCTCTTGATGCGCGTGACAGATGTGCACCGAAAGGGTGCAACAGCTGAAAGATAATATTGTTTGTACTGTTAGTGTGCATATTCCATAACTAGAACCCAGCCTCTCAAGAACAAGCTGTTTCCTGTTAGTTGATCAGGTAAATGTTATTCTGTTCGTCGAACTTGCCAGTTAGCTGTTGACGAAATTTTTGCAAGCCAATTACCAAGCTGACTGAATAAATCAACAATTGCCTCATCAACTACTAATAAGCACACCCGATCAACCTTATTCTGGTGCGTTTCCAACACACCGCAACTTAGCATATTGCTAGAAAGCACATGAGCCAGCAGGGATTGGTGCTTGGTCGGATAGTGAATCAATGTGTAAGGCGAATCAGCGTGTCTTGTTTGCAGAAATTACAAGCCCCTTGTCGATACGTTGGGTTTGCTATTCCAGATACGGGACGACTATGTGAATCTGGTGGACAAATCAGTGAGTTTTCAGCATCCACATTTCCTATTTTTGCCAAATTCCAGTCGGTATCCTCTGTCTTCGTATGATTTTGTACTGTGATATGGAGCTTTTGTCGCTATGACTCCGTTATAAACAACATTCTTGGGACAGAGGTTGCGTCTTTAAAACTGTCGATTTTTACTTTACAAGGCCCTCTGAATATCGTATGACTGAGATAGCTTAGTTAGTGGTTGACGAGACCGCTGGTCAGAAGGTCCGTGATCCGTGAGTTGATTCTGTCTAAGCTCGGGCAATCTGTGCTCGATGCCTCTTGATGCGCGTGACAGATGTGCACCGAAAGGGTGCAACAGCTGAAAGATAATATTGTTTGTACTGTTAGTGTGCATATTCCATAACTAGAACCCAGCCTCTCAAGAACAAGCTGTTTCCTGTTAGTTGATCAGGTAAATGTTATTCTGTTCGTCGAACTTGCCAGTTAGCTGTTGACGAAATTTTTGCAAGCCAATTACCAAGCTGACTGAATAAATCAACAATTGCCTCATCAACTACTAATAAGCACACCCGATCAACCTTATTCTGGTGCGTTTCCAACACACCGCAACTTAGCATATTGCTAGAAAGCACATGAGCCAGCAGGGATTGGTGCTTGGTCGGATAGTGAATCAATGTGTAAGGCGAATCAGCGTGTTGGATCGTTCTGTGAACGCAAACGACTATATACGACGTGCGACCGACAGCGCCGCGTGCATATTGGGAAGGGATAACTGGAACTAAGGAGAAACATGGCCAAAAGCGAACTTGCTTTGTCTCTCGTAACCGCTGAGCAACGAGCAGTATTCCAGGGTTGACCGAAACATGGACTGTGTCAACAATGAACGTTTCCTGTTCAATTGGAGCTCATTTACTTGAGCCGCTCTCCAGCAGTAATGTGCCATGATCGGACCATAATCGACGTCGAAGTGTGGTAGTAAATTCATGTGACTAAAACAGCCGATAGATAGGCGGACAATGGCTTCACAGCGATGTCCCGTTATCTCGTGGAGTGATTTGGAAGAAGCCCATCTTTTGTATTCAGCCGTGGTTTGAAGCCTTATCGAGTTGGATATTTCAGAGAATAGTTAAACCAAGTAAAGAATCGGTCCATAAGGAGGGTGACGTCGCGTAGCTTGATGTGTTTCATACTCTGATAGGGTTTGTAGAAGCTTAAAGTATCGCTGAGGGGCAATTTTTAGACTTTTACTACAAAGACCCTATCTCGCTAGAGAAAACGCCCTTTAGTGTCAGTTGTATTTGTTTCTGACGCCAGAGATGACGCCAATTAGCGAATGTTGTTCGGTCAAGACAAAAACGAAAGCTCCTCATCATCTTTGATTTGCGTTTGTGGATGCTCTTCCGGCCCATATTCCGATGGCATTTCAAGCGTGTGAGTAATTCAGAAACTGATGGAGAGTCTAAGCTCACGTAGTACGGCTTGTGTTGATCCGGTGCAACGACCAACGTAGATACGGGAGCAGATGGCCAACTCCACTTTTGTGGAAAGTATTTAGCTCAGAATGAGGATGCTGGTTCTTCACATGTATAAAATCTCCAATATTATACTTGTTGACCCAATCAACAGCCTGTCTTACTTGTCCCGTTTTGCGTATCAGGTGAAAAAGTTGCAGACCATTTCCAGCTTCACTAGCTTTTCCCAGTTCCAGGCTTTTCCTATTCCAGATTTCTCTATCCGCTTGAAGAATGTGTTCGACCTCATGTCGAACAGCCCCTGTGGCTGAGTTGTGTTGAATGTTCGAAAGACATCACGTCTCTCATCGAGGAGCGACAGTGACTGAAAGGCACTTGTTAACGGAGCTCCAGACGAGCAAATAAGCCTCAGTAGACGCATAATCGTGCAGTTCATGCGCGGCAGCGTGCAGATGGCTCCAGATGGCTCACTGGCCATGCGACAGTTGCTTGAGCATGAAATTATTGTAGTTTGTGCAGTTCGTATTTGTAAGTGGAACGAATAACGTAGATACGGGGGTAGATAGCCAACTCAACTTTTGTGATTCTAAGGTTGTTCTATCTTCCCACTCTCACAAACTTAACCAACCGGCGTAAAAAGACAGGCGGAAATGAGCGAAGTTTTGGTGCTAAGACTCACTGTAGCTGTAGGCATCAAAGGACTTTATTGATACAAAGTTCCTGTCAAACTTGCGATGTTACTTACTTTATACTCGACTCAGCGGCTTGCGCACACCGGCTTTGATCTCGATCAAATTACCCGTGTGAGGGCGTCCGTTGTTTCAACGAATGTTGGTGGAGCAATCCGGTTTGGATGTCAACTAATCTTAGTGGGTAGCTGATTTTTCACGAGAGGAGGGGGTGGCTTGTGCGATCATGGAATTCTGAGTGTCTGCCTGTGGGTGCGTCTGCGTCCCGTAAACCGTTAGCGCGTGGTTAATTCGTCCACTTCTTGATCGGTGAATTCGCTTCGAATGCCTGAATTACAAACATAACTTCACCCACTTCATCCAGCCTGTGTGTTGTGCTGTGTGTTAGTGCATGTTTCCACTGTCACACAGCACTGCATGAGCAAAGGGGTACAAAACATCTGTGGCTAATGTTCACTGGAAGAGTAGGTATTATTTGTATAAACGTGACGCACTACTCATAGGGTTGCTGGAAACTCTTCGACAGCCCACGGTCGGTTCACTCTTATTGTGACTCCTCAGATAGGCTCGGTCCCCAAGTTTCCGTCACTCCTATGTTCTACTTGAACCCAAATTGCACGAACTTAGTGAATTACACTCATTTGCGTGTCAATTCGGTTTTGACGGTACTATCTGTCTTGTCTGCTACTTATGAGTAGTTGCGTGAAAAACCTGTGGAATGTAAGTTCTGCTGTAGGTGGTCGGTTTCTGATGTTTACTCTCTCGCTTCCCTTTTACAAGTACCAAAAGTCCAAAGCTTTTGCGGAAGACATAACCGAGGGAAAATTCAGTTTTCCCATTGTCCGGTCGATTCAAGCCAACCCACGGGACAATCAGGTGATGAGCATTTTATGTCAACGCACTACGGACAAATATCTAAAAGTTCATTGTGTGCGTCACATGGCTGATTTGGGAGCTTTCGACTACACCGTTGATGTCATGGCTAAGCTGGAGCAGCAGTAAGTGGATTTTTCAGTTTTGATCAGTGCGCTATGAATTGTGGCTCAAAGTAGTGTAGCCGTTCGTGCTGCCTATATTTCAGCTTTCTCTTCGTCACCAGTCAGTAATAACTCATCTTATACAGGTCGTTTTGATCGATTCAGTTGGAACACTTAGAATGAATCTCAAAAGCCCGAATCAAATTTACCAACTCGCTCCGCTTGTGGTGTCAAACGGCCATATCACCAGGTCTCAAGAGTCGCGCGTACCACACTATATTAAGGCCTGAATTGTTTTATATTTGCGAGATATGACCTTTGAGGCCTTTCGAGGTTTTCGGCTACCGTTTTCTTAGAAACTTTGCTGTTTTCGGATGGCATCAGGGGATTCCTAACGAGGTAATTAGAGAATGGGTATAGTTGTGCGATGAGTACTTCAGTCGCGAAAACATCCGGCACCACTAACTATGGTGATTTACAAATGTGTCACGGATCTTCGTCTGCTGAGCCGAGTGTCATTCTCTGTGCTTTCTGCAGCATGGCTTAAACCGCCAGGCAGATAACATATGACGTGGCGGAAGGGTGTGAAGGTAGATACGGACAGTTTGGGTGTTGTTGGAGCGGTACGCCTTCTAGGATTAAGTCTCTGTGACCCTTCCTGGGCTTGGCCGGAGACAATGCAAAAATGGCGACTGTTCGATGTCAGTAGTGTTTGTGTTGTCATTCTCTCTCTAGATTGTCTGACTTAGCGCTTGGGGATAGGTGGGTAGCTGGGAATACTTGTGATGGACCAGCATCTCACTCACTCTTGTCCCCTCTTTTTTTTCACTCTTTTGACTTCGGTAAACCTTATGGATGTATGGCAGTGAAGTTTGAATGTCAACTTTGATGTTGCTGTCTCTGTTGATAATGCAATTAGTTTGCGAATTTCCCGTCACCATACGAACAGACATCGTCAATGGGCAGAGTTATATGGAGTTCCCTCGGTTTGATGAGTCATCGAAAGACCTAGGAAGTGAACCTTGTAGGAAGAGCAAGGTACACAAGTCATCCGAATGGCTGGTGGCAGAATGGCCGGCTAGACATTGACCCAACAGTTGACTCCTGGCGATATTGTTTGTTCGTTTAGAAGTCTTGCCGTCAAAATAAAAACAGCCCTTTTCCTTACAAATTAAAACCAGTTTGGGATACGGTTAATTCCATCCACCTCATGATCCATTTTGCCGAACCGTTACGATTCCAGTAGTTTATTCGCATACATACGACCGTGAGGAAGCTTTGAAATCTTTAAAAACGTTCTGATGGTAAAAAGACATATGAGTTGCCTTATTATGTGGAGTAAATGCATACCTCATCATCATCATCATCATCATCATCATCAAAGACAGCAACATCAGTGTTGGCACTGATGCTTCACTGCTGTACAATGCATACCTCGTAAATTCGAAATACCACTGACAACCATTTGTTGACTTGTATGTCGAACTTTTGCGTTGGTTTCGTCACCTTTTGATGTGACATCGTCAGTGCTCTGTTGACTGAGGCCTCACAGAATTGTGACATAATGATACCGATCCACTGTCCAGTTTTAAACGCGTTCATCCAGCTATTTGAAGAACTGCGACCACATTAGGTTGAGTATATTCATGTGCACCATGTAAACTGGGCAAATCTACCATAAGCGGCATGAATTTGGGAACGCGGTCGCTTCAAAGAGAACGCTGCCAGCCTTAAATCTCACCAAGAAAGCGGTTTCATGCAAATACCGAATGTTGTTCGTGTTCTCCGGAAGGCGAAGGTCCCTTTGTGAAAAGCTGGTTACTACGTTAACATTCACCGATTTAGGTGATGTGGCACGTCTATTCGTTTAAATAATTTCAAATTATATGAAACCACCGAGTTTGCTACCTTTAATTTTCCAAACGTGTGGTTCTGAAAAGCTGAGTAAGTTAACGGAGGCCAAGTGTAGGTCGATCAGTAGCCTGGTTGAAGACTGCCTGCCGACATGGGGATGTTGTTGTGAATACAGTTGTTGATGCACTCGGTGGAGCAAGATAATGAGGCGCTGGGATTCGTTTCTCGAGGTGGGGGGTGGGACAAACCCTACTAGAGTTGAACTGTGCTCCACTCAGATACCCTTGACTAATTAGATCTTGTGAGGTCATCTGACTCTTCTGCTTTTTGGAAAAAGAATTGCTTAGATTACTAAAGTGTCGTCATTTTAGTTTTTTTTGGTTTTAGTTTACCTACGTTAGAGTTGTAGTCATTTGCTAAGACGATTCGGATCACAAGGCCTCGTGATTAAGTGATGCGACTACAGTTAATTTTATACGAATTATTTTGTTTGCTTTGGCCCAGTCGGTTACGTCTCTCGGCTGACCAGTTACACATACTCCCCAATAAATATGGGAAGTTCCTCTTCCTGGACGGGTATTCGTCAATCAGAGTGCTCTAGCTATGGGATCGCCCTCCTTGTCGAACTGTAAAAACTTTAGCTCTGTAGATACTGCATGTTGGTCGTGGTTTTGTCTACTAAACTAGACGGTCTGGTCCCAGAAAGGGGGTAGCCCACAGTCCGTCAGATTGAACAGCCCTACGGCCTTCATCGCTCAACAGAGAAGACATTAAGGTATCTGCCCAAAAACTATCGATCTGGGTGCAAATAATACCGCCAACGCCATTAAATTGATCCGAGGGCGCACTTTAGATTAAGGCCTAAGTACTCCAACTACTAGCGGTAGTATTCATCCAGCTCATGATGTTTATAGATGTGCACCGAGGTATGATCAGTACATCGCGTTTCATGCAAATGTTTCGTAGTCAAACGCCTGAAATAAACCGCATTAGACGTACCTATCTGATCAGACCCGGCCTCGGGACGCCCTTCCCTTTAGTCCTTCATGAGATTAATGCGAAATATGTGTCCGTCTATTTCTCCTTATAAAACATGAACTCTTAGTTCTACCCATCGAAGTCCCTCTGGTGAACCTTTGTGCGTAACAATGGGGCAAGTTGCGGAGAAATTAATGAGTAATGAAATATTTCGCAGAAGTGGAGAGTAAAAGACAGCTCATAGTAGAAATTACAGCCAGCTAGGTAAGAGTGTACGTTGAAGGCTGTATGGGTTTTCCACCTGTTTATCGCTTGAATGTCTTATCTTATTTGGTGAGGTTTCAGCAAACTATCGTGGAATTCACCCAGCAAAGGGAATAATACAAAAGTGTTAGTTGCTCGCTTTGTACACTTTGTACACTTAAACATGCCCCTAATGTCTTTTTTACGTCTACTAGTGTATAATCCAACCGTACGAAAATGTGCCACGAATTAGTGCACAAAGTGCCCTCCACTCTAGGTTTTCACCAGCTCTAAGGGTACGGCGCTGTCTTCGGATGAGGAGTGTATAACATCCAACGTGACTTAACCGCGGGAGATACAGTAGCACGTTGCTGATAGGTCTTAAGTCAGAAATAGAGCCATTCGCAATTGCGTGTCCGTCAAGACCCGTCTCGGACCAGTTGTTAGCCCCGTCTGATGTTGCTTCATACTGGTTAGCTCTGTGTGATTTTGTCCAACTTTATGGTAATGCCCCATCGAAGCGATACTAATGTTATAATAGTAGTTTCCTACTTGCTTGTCTCCTATTATGTATTTCACAGCTAAGGTAACGCACTTATTGTTTCTCACTTGCTCTGATTTCGACCCAGGTGTCATGCGCTCATCGAACATCACGGTGGTAATCCTTTCCTATCCGCATTTTTGAAAAAAGTTGGTTCCATCTACCGTTTGAATGATGGTCAGTTGCGACGACATAGTGCGTCGGAATTCGATTTCAATCCGGAATCTGAACAGTCTACCTCAGTTGAAAGCTCTAAGTTGCCTTGCTGCCTCACGCCAAATGGTCCGTTTAAGCCAAACTCGTGAGCCTCTGAATCCCATCGTGCAACTGTGATCTCTCTCCAATTTTTCGTGTATTTTCACTGCTATTTTACGTGTTTCCCATCCAATTTTCTTATGCATTGCAAAATACATGCTTTGTCTGTATACCCCTCATTTTCAGCCGTGTGTATGGCGCTTCTCATCTGCTCCGAGCTTTGCTGGTTGTTTAGACTTTCATTGGGTCACCACATAGTAATCCGTCCCTTTTGTTCCTTCGACAATCAGTGAGAGCAATTTGACGTCAAATTAAGCCTCTGGATGAATCCTCTGATCGCAGTCCTCGACCGTAACCAGAAGTGACGAACGAATAAATGTAGCATCACGGTACTCCACCACGCGGAGAAATTCGCTTGTATAATGTCAGTTAAGGGCATTATCCTGCTACGATGCCTTCTAGAACTCTTTCAGTACCGGGGCGAGACAACTCGATGGTTGGGGCGCGAACTTACTGACTGGAAGGTCCCTGGTTCGGACCCGATATCTACATCTCCATTTCTCCTGTCTAGGCTTGGGAAACATGGTAGTGTCCCAGCCCTCGTGATTCCTTCTGGTAGAATAGCAGTTGGGCACCGAAAGGGTGCCACAGCTGAAGCGGCTCTTTCAGTACCGTTGTGACTGGATAGATGTTCTTCCTGGTCTTATGCATTCATAACGTCCAGAAATCTCCTCCCTGCGATTCAGTTCGCCTGACGCACATCATATGTACAGAATTTATGAGCTACTCACTTGAAGTACCGTTCAGTTCCAATGTTTCTTCCCAGTTGAATAGATTTTCGAGCCAACCTGAATGATAGCAGCAGACGGTCGAACAACATTGCGCCTACACGCCTGAGTATCCGGTATGCATAATGCTACCTACCTGACAGTCTTCATACATGTCACGCCAGCAGCTGGATGTAATTTTTGTGACTAAATCGCCGTAGTATAACTTGGGGTACCGCAGTTTCAGATATCATTAGGTTTAGTTCATTTTGGTGCGAGGTTGAGATAGTGATCATTTCATCCTCCTAAACTCTGGAAAGAAGTAATCTGGCTCTGGTCTTTGAGCATGCCACTTTTAGTGATCGCCGCCACAGTAAAGTTCCTCGAAAAAGCCTGTTGTAGACAGAACTGTCATGTTTTCTCCAGTGGCGAGCGGTTCTCGTCTTATAACGTTCGCAACAAGACAATAGATTGAATAATGGTATGTTTTCATCTCTCGAACATAGTATTGTACGTGTTTTCACGTATTTTCCGGCTAGTGTGAACATTAGTCAACTTGCCACTGATACTCATCAGTTGGGGTACAGAGCGTAACTGGTTGGCACCTGAAACCTACATGACGTTCAATAAACAGTTAGCCTCTGTCTTCCGATTCGAATCTAGTCAGCGGTAAACGTCCTTTCCACTGTTTACTTGTAAGCTTTGAGGTTGGTTCGGTATAGATCAGGAATTCCGAGCATTTACCTCAAGTAATTCGTGTAGAAATCTCTAGTACTAAGTTCCACCAGTTGTGATAAAACCTTCCCTTACTCTGAATGAGTTCAAGTAAAGTCGGCGTTTTCTAGTATTGCAAAATTCTCAATTTTTTAAACACTTCATGTAGACCGCAAAAATACAAGCAGTGCCCCGAAGAGAGTGAATCCCGAGAAAGCGCTGACGGCCAATTGACTTTACTGTGACCATTGCGATCACGTTTGGCCGCGTGACGGCTGCAACTGCTGAGGCGAACTCCCAATGCAAAAATACGAGCAGTGCCTCGAAGGGGGTGAATCCCGAGAAAGCGCCGACGGCCAATTGACTTTACTGCGACCATTGCAATCACGTTTGGCCGCGTTGCGGCTGCAACTGCTGAGGCGAACTCCCAATTGCATTTCTGTCGAATAAGTAAACCAAGCTTTCCATAAGGAAATCTACCTGGCATGGTCTCGTGGTAGGGCATGTAGCACATCATTTACGAATTTTGTTACACTTTTCATGATAAATCTAATGCTACCAGCGCAGAAAAATTAAGTGGGGCCCGAAAAAATCCCGTATTGATGGGCGCGATTATGAGGAGTTGCTTTGGTTGACCGTAGATAGATACAGTACGTTGGGCAAGCTCCACGGACAATATCGCTCGAGAATGAAAACTGTGTTTTCGATACGAACCAAACGGTATATGGGCCATAACAGGGATGTTTAGTTTTCCTTACACAGTGGAACTGAAATCACGGCAACCTTTTTGCATGTTGTTGTATCCTAAAAAAAGTTCCACTACGGTTGCTTTTGTGTCATCGGAACTTCTCTCCTGGCAACAGAAATATTCGACTCCTAGATGAGAAAATTCAACCTTATGTGGCATTGGAATTCGAAGTCATCATGTTTTGTTACACGCGGATATTTCATCTGATCGGCTTATTTAGGAAATCTGTTCTTATAAAACAGATCCACAGTCAGCGTGGTTTAGAGTGATGCTTATAGATGCAATGCATGCTTGAAAGAAAATAAACACAACTGCTCGCTCTTCGTTGATTGCACATGGTCAGCTGTTTCGGCTGTCGTATGGAACCTGTCAGCTAGCAGGTTCATAGGAGGAAGAATGCATTTCGTGCCTACTAACAGCGTTATTGCGAAACAAATTTACCATTTGACTACCTTGGTTATCCTGGTTCCGAGATTCCAGTCGAATGTCACTCCGATGATTTCACGGGCTGGCGTCGTCAATCAGATAATCGAATTGATTGAACGTCCGTCTCTTGTAGGCGTCAGTCGGAAATAGTGTTCAAAGCTGAGTGAACTTAGTTGCAGTAGGATGGTTCTCAAAAACCTTAGCTGTGTGCATAGAGTAAAAATCATCAGTTTCCTGAAAATAATTCGAGAATGCCCGAAACCTACTGGGACCCTAAAACTTCACCAAAATCTCTATAAGCATCCGGACCAGTCAATCAGTCGATTCAAAAGCAACCTGGATCGTTGAAAAGTGAAGCTCAAATAGCGCAAGGTGCCATGTAACTGTTGTACTCACTTCTTCTCAGTAGGGCTGTTGTGTTCTACGTTGGCGAGTCTTTTTTCGGCACCGAGACACTAGAGTGGGAACAGAAAACCAAGGTTAATTCGTGAAATTTACCTATGGGTGCACGCAGACCATTTGAGTGCCCTTTCCTTCAAATGTTAATTTTGGTGAAATCGGCGACGGGGCTGGTCAAGTGATGGGTATATAAAGCTGAATCTATACTGCTTGTCAGCAAAGTATTCACGAAACGTTGCAACTGTTTTGACAACCCAATAAGGTATTCATTTGAAGCAGTATGTCTCGTTCATCCGAATGATGTAACTTTAAAGATGAATCCATTTCACTTAGTTTCGTCGGTCGCAATACATGTAACATGTTGAAAAATAACAAACCAATCCGGACAAACACACTGTATAATTCTTGCACTAAGAATAGTGACTTTCAATTACTCATACAGACCAGGCTAAGCGTCACGTGACCTCTGACGGAGTAATTGGTAAAGTCTCGACGAATTTCCTTGTTAACGATCAGTTGCATCGTATTAGAAAAGACATTGAGTCGATGTCAACCGAATGACCATTCTCAAGGCCTTCTCTGGTAATGGATGATACATTATATGTCTATATTCAGTGCGGCTTGCAACTTTAATTTTATTTATTCTAGTGACATGTCGCCATGAGGTATTTATCAGATTTCATGGCACTACCAAACCTTAAACGGGGCTGGAGCCCATATTTGGCACCCTCGACTAACGACGATATCCGGCAAAAACCCCGACAGTTCACATTCAGCCAACTCATGATACGCTACCAAGTACTACTCACTAGCACGCCCCACCCTAAACTCCACGCTATTTACTGCTTTACCTGCAGTGCAGCTTCAGTGATTGGCCTGGACAAAACTCGTGGTGTCATGGCTCGAGAACGCTTCCGCTTTTAGTTGCTGAGTTGGACTACCAGATGAACAACAACTAAACCTACTCAGAACTCCCCACTTCGTTTATATCAAGTCGTTATTTTTTATAACGCGACGTCACTGATAATAAACGTTGAAGCTCAGAGGCCTTATTGGTTACTCGCCACGGGTTACCATTTCGTTTTCGCGTTGCGCTTACTCTGTTTTAGAGAGTGAACTGACTCTGTTGAGAGTGAATTTCACTCAACATTTTGCGCGACCTATCCATTTTGTGATCGGCTGAGATTGTTCACACTTTTTGACCGTGTTGCGACTGACGGTAATGCATGAATTGGTTACAACTCGCAATTAACATCCTATTTCTGTTATTCACACGTTGATTACCGGAAGCGACCCCACTGTTAACACCCGTTTTACTAGGGTGAGCATTATGCCTAATCCGTTTATTCATGTTTTCCTTTTCGCAATTGGAATTTCATGCCTTCCCTTGCCTGGTAAAATTGAACGATGAGAACGAGAAGTGGTATCCTACTCACCGGAAGACTTATTGAACTAATCATGTTTTTTTTCGTCGTCGGGATGTAGCACACTACTCATAACGTTGCTGAAAACTCCCCGATAGCTCACCTGTTGCGAAAGTTTTCCAGAAGGTTGTTGATGTTTGTTCAAATGAATTCATCCCACCTTAGTGTGCCCCGATTTGGCTTTCCGAGTACTGCTATTTGTATTTGTGGGGTATTCAATTTAGTTGCGCCATGTTTAGAAGGATTTTCTTGGCAATCTGTCTTTTCAAGTGCGCTTAAAACGCGCGTAAGTCGAAGTTCTTTTTGCGAGCGTCATACATATGATTCCTTATCTGCATACGGGCTGTTGCATGTGTAAATTAAGAACCCGATGGCAATAGAACAACATTTTCCTTCCGGAACACACCACTCTGTACAGTGGAACGATTGGTTTGTAAGGAATCCACTCACTCAGTTAGCAGTAGCAGTAGATACCTGACAGCTCCACAGATTCCAGTAGACTATTTTTCGCTCAGTCGCAGGTACGCTAGCATTCACATGTATATTATCTTGTGGTTGTTGGCATCCGCGATCATCTGTCTGAATATCCGCCTGTTTTTTTCTCCGACGATTGTGTTGAGTGGCTTCGCTTAAGTGTGAAGTCTCAATCCAGGCAACCCACCTCATCCTTACCGACCGCAAATTTTCCTGATTCTTCGTCACATTTGTCAGCCACATAACCATCAACCGCTAATCGGTCTGTATTGACTTATGTTTGGTAGAGTTGCTATTTGGTGAACGCTCTGTTCACTGTTGCAACGCTCTATAAATTTTACCACCTCTGTCGTCTTCAATTTACATACCTGGCTTGCTTGTACCACAACGTAGCTTTGTTTATCGGCTGACCAGAACTTGAGTTAGTGTTAACTTGAGACGCAGTTGATTTCCAGTTGAATCTCCGGTTCATGACATTTGAATAGCCTTCAACAACCTTGTAAGTAGTATTTTCTGGTGAGAAAAATATATGAAATCAAGTTTGAATTAGCACTAAGAGGACGTAGCCGTCCATCTCTTACGGTATCATGAATTTCTTCGTTCGGGCTTTGCCTAAGCATACGGCATGAATATCTTCACAGAAGGTATAAAAATGTAAACCCTTCGGATACATTCAACACGCGTGCCCGAATGGATGGGCCTCAGAAGGAGGTGCCGCCGACGTGTGGGCGTCCAAGCTGTAAACCGTTTGCTGTGGCCAGCGTTGCGTTTCACAGACGTCGAGTGACCTACCAACTGGTGGCAACTACCACGAGGTTTAACTTCTCCCCATGGAAATGTCTTTTACTGTCTTTAGAAATACAAGTAATTAGCTATAGACATGAACACAACCGTCCATTCCGACATGATAGTTCAGGTGCAGTAAGGTTAACACGCTCGCCTCGTACGTCAGATGCCCAATGTGCACTGCTGATGAGTTCTACTTTGAGCAACTTTGGAATCCAGTGCTTTATTCCGTTTGTTGTGGACTTATAAGAATAATTTCTGTAAGACATGATGGGTACGGTTCAAAAGTGCGTGATGTGAACGCGAACTGTGGTTGACATCATAGAGAAGTGAGTAACACTTTTGGAAGTAGTCAGAACACTTATTATAGTCTACTTTTTTTGGAAAACCAGAAATATTTCCGGTGGACGCGCTTACAACCAAGCGTATACCGCTTGTTGTTGTCATCTGCTACTCCCCTGCAAGGCAATTATTGCACTTCCTATTACGTTGGCTTACTTTTGATCCCCATTTTGAAAAGTAGCCGTTCGTCCTATGAATAGTCATGCGCAGCAGCTTAAAGCATTCAATGTGTACTTCCATGGTCTTTTGCAACCATTCGGTCAAGGCGTGAACTTACTGACCAGAAGGTTGATTATTCGAACCGAACTTCGTTATCTCGACTGTTCCTGTATGGGCAACCTGGCAGTTTTCCAGTCCTCATGATTCTTTCAGGTGGCATAGCAGCTAGGCATCGAAAAAGTGTTGAGGTTAAATAATGTTTTATCCACAAGTCACAATCATGACCCATACGGACATACCTGTTCTCCCAGTGCCCATTCTGCGGAGTTTCTTTCTGCGCGAACAAAGGGGAAAAGAAAGTATAGTTCGCCAGTTGTGAACTATCTCGTGTTCCAGTAGAGCATAAGGTTGACGGAAACTCGGGAACTGCGTCTACCTGCTGAGTCCCAGTAAGGCGAAGCCGGTTGTTGTCTGCTGGAAAGTTTTCCGTAACCTTTTGGGTAGTTTGTTTCACCGTCTGAAGAATATTTGCAGCAGGCAACCTGAATTCTAATATCAACTCAGTGTTTGTCGAACCTCCGGCTCTTGCCGGGGCACATTTCTTGGAGGCCCTGAACACGAAAGCTTCTGTTCATTTTCGGATAATTAGATCGACAGGAACAATTATTACGAATATGATCCGGTGTGTTGATTCGTCATCCTCTCAGCGCTACTTCAAACTTTTTGTGTTTGTCTTTTAGTTTGCAATGTCATCTGACGAACCGTCTAATTCCGGGCAAACTCGTGACACCAGCAGACACCCAGATGTGGATGATTCATTTGAGGAAAACGCTGTGAGTTTCGTAAGCTAATCTAAAATTTGATCGTTATCACAATGGCCTGTAGGTATCTTGTATCTTTCGTCCGCTGTTGCGAGGTTAATTCTACGAACATCCAAACAGGGAGCGTGTAGTAAATGACATCGATTTGTTTTTCAGTCCAATTTCCGCTTGTTTGATGCCTATCGAGAGGGAAACCTGGACTGTGATGTTATCAGTACCCAAAAGGTATCCCGCGTCCTGGAAACGAAGAATTCAGTACCTCTGAAAGAACCCCTTGGTCAGTGTGCTACCGATGTTCCCCGTTCTTGGCGGTTAGCTCCCGAGGCCAACAAACCAACCAACGCGTCGGTTTCCTTGGGGTCCTTGTGCAAGACAAAGTCCATGCCGAAAGTACCTACTGTGGGACAGGAAACATCAACAGTATCCCGTGAGCCATACGCTCCACCTGAACCAAAGGCTAAAGGATCGTGAGTCTATGTGTGATTGTACACCATTGCTTTCGCAGGATTGACTCACAACCTTTAGTCTGACACTCTATTTTTTTCTTTATTCCAGCCATCTGAAACCTTCACCGGGCAACGCCATACTGGTGAACCAGCGTCAGGTAACAACTTTCTGTGGGTCCCCTCGTCTCCTTTAGTGAGACCTCTTTGGCCTCCTCTGCCTACCTGAAGCCTGTATTCTACTTTTCAGCGGGGAAATCCATTACTAAAGCACATACACAATGTGGCGTGGGAGTATGCCGAAATCGAACCTGATTACGTAGTTGGTCGAAACAACTGTGTCTACTTTCTCAGGTAGGTGCCAATTTTCGCGGTGTTCCAACTGCAACGCATGAATCGCTTCTTTTCCCATTTTGTGTTAAAGTGTTCGTGCTCTGCTGTCGCCGGGCTTTCCCTCACTGCTACTCGTTCTCACTGTTGAACTGCAGTATTCAAATATCACTTAAGTGATGCGGTTCTTACATCCCCTACTCAGTTACCCTGTAGTAATTAATATAATCGTTCAACTGTAGTACCCTCTCCGTGCATAGCTGCCACTCAAAGAGAGCACGAGGGCTGAGATACTGGCAGCTTACCCAAGCCTAGACAGGATCTGTCGAGGTAACGTGGTTGGATTTGAATCATGAACCGTCCGATCAGTAAGTCCGCGCCTAAACCACAGCTATCTCCAGTTCCAGACTCATTGCTAATGTCATATCAAAGAATGTGAAAACAGGCTATCACATTTTACCTATGACAAATCGCGTGAAATGAAGAACCGCTGGTGGCCATGATTGAAACTACCCACATTTTCTAAGCAGCTCAAAGGAAGGAATTATTCACTAGTCGCGTGAACCTCCGAGCTGAGAAGCCGTCACTCGTGCCAGTCAACACGTGACCGTGTGATAAAAACCCCGTGATTGAGAAATGAGTTAATCACACTCCTACTTAGTCACTCGTGGCCGAATAATCTATTCTTCAGCTACCAACCCAGAAGCTGCAAGTTTGATTCTTTCCAGAGGTTCGTGGAGTACGCACTACTGATGGTTTCCAACAAAGATGAAACAGCTTTAAAGTGCTTCTCTGTTTTTCGCCAGAGGTTCGTGAGTACGCACTACTGATGGTTTCCAACAAAGATGAAACAGCTTTAAAGTGCTTCTCTGTTTTTCGCCAAGCGTTGGCTTCACGTACAGGGAGAAAACTTTTCAAAATGAGCAGCCGTGAAAAATGAACACCAACTGCGCCAAACACATGCAGCAACATATCTGGTACTGTACTGATTTTGACCGCACCCGACAGCTTGATGACACGAGCACCACTTTACTATCCAACAAACAGGTTAACAGGTCCTCTGTTCCATTGCCGTTCTTCCTTTGAAACGAAAAATATCACTTCCCCCCCCCCCGGACTTTCGGTCGTAGTGCATAATGTCTATCTGAAGTCCTGTGTCTGAACCATAGAAAAATGCTTGATTGATTTCCTACCGGTAGTAAATCCAAGCTTCCGATTACCCAGACTTGATTAGACGCGTCTTTCATCTCAGGTTTATGAGTTATTGTAGTGCGGAAAAATTCCGAATAATAAGATGGTTTTATACTTGCACTTTATAATTCGCTTGCTCCAATTAACCAGCTATTAATCTGTATCAGTTCTTGTCCCTGCCGTTACTTCTTCTAGAGGGTATTAACCTATTCTTACTTTTTCATGTACCCGCCATTCATTGTTTTACTCACTGTCGCGTAACATGCGAGGGATGCATACATTGTCTGCCCGCCTCTGACTTTTAAAAATTATTTCAGTCTTCGCTACCACAAACTGAATCCAGAGTACATCTTTGAAAGAGTGAGACAAACCAAACAGAATTATCAACTTTCCGTTCTTCTGTGCCAAGTGGATATAGTAAGTCCCATGTTGAGACGCGTTCTTTGTTCAAGCTTAGGGTCGAACAGTTTCATTTCCTCTGACTTGTTTTCACGCTATTTCAGACAGATCCGCACTATCCGTTGAAAGAACTGTGCAAACTGTGCCTGTCAGAGAAGCTGACACTTATGCTGGCTTGGAGGTAAGTCTTTTGGGACTAAATTGTTGCGCAGATGTCCCTGTTGCTCAACCGTCTTATATTCTCTGTTAGGCGTCTCGACTAATCATTTCTCCCATAGTTTCAGTCTACCCACATTATATAGGTGAGTGAAATACTTGAGAGTAGGTCGTATGCCGGAGGCCTGGCTTTCATAACCAGATTCCAAGACCACCAAGCATTCGATGCCTAGTTTTGTGCTTTTGTCGGGAACTGATTTGGTAAACTACAATGAATGCATTGTAAACGTTTACCTGGTGCTCATTGTTCACGAACTGCACCAGAATTGATCGGTCCATCGTCTGTGTAATTCCTTTTGTTGGTCTACAAGGATTTTGCCAATTTCCTCTTCATTCTTCCAAATTGGCGCGTTCCAGAGAGCAAGCAACTCGGTGTACACATATAGAGGTGGTTAAACGTGAAAATTATCTTTCAGCATTTGCCTTGATATCAGGGGACTGATAAAGATCATATCTAATGGGACAGTAAGAAGTGTACGATAAATCAACATGCCATCAGGTACATCACCCATAAATTGCACTAGGATGTAAACTGACCCACGTGGGACATCTCTGGTGGCAAACGTCTATGTAATCGACCTGATGTTCCGTTTGAAAAGCCAGTCAGGATGCTAATATCACAGGCTAGCAATTATTGCAGTACAAAGGATATGCAGATATCTGATATACAGATCTAAGGTGGACATTCGTTCGTCGCGTCGTCCAAAAAACACGCTTCGATTTCGAAAGTAAACTCAATGACTGAATGGGCAGTATCGGAAGCTTCATTCGTCCACTGTTATATCACTCTCATTTGAACGGTTCCTCTCCTGTCTCAGCGCAGTTATTCTGATGAGTCTAAAACAAGTGAGAGAGCACTGGATTTGAATGCCTCGTAAAGTATCTGCTGTTAGTCTGACCGGCCCATATTCCAGGTTTTTCAGGTCTAAACGGGAGCATTCGAGATGCCGATTTTTGATTTGAACTGTTGGTCAGCAAGTTGGCGTTATAGCCACTGAGCTTTCTCGACCTCGCCATCCAAGCAGGAACTAAGGAGGGCGATGTCAAATGCGGATAACTTTTGAAGCGTTCTCCCAGTTGGGAGAACGGCATGGTGATGAGCGTAGATGTCACCCATATACGGATAGTTAAGTGATGCCGATGTTATAGGTGATGGAGCGTCGAAACGGCTAACTGATAACTTGCCGCAGAGTGGAGCGTACCGGTGCATCAGTGGCTGTGCACTGAGTAGTGGTGCGTGCCTGCTGCCAGCCAGGGTTGATCGTAATTCACAATTGTTTGTTCGGCCGACTTATCTCGGGGTGTCCATAGTGTATGTGTTACAGCACATAATTTCGGAGTCTTGAGGATACAACCATCGGTGATCAAAAGGTGCTTAGCGTAGATATGCATTTTCTAAATCCGAAATCAATACCATCATTCGGTGATCTACTTTGTGGATATACTTCCTCTTTTTAGGCAGCAAATCAATCTCTTTCCGGGTGAATCATTCAGAAAGTGACTAGAAGGTTACGAACATTTTTTGACGTATAGGAGCATCCGTTTCAATTCACGGAATCACAACATCCCCTTCAGATCGATTTCTGGCGTTTTGTTGACTGATCTGAGTCGAATCGGATGGACTGAATCACCGCAGTAAGCGTAGTTGCGCATCACAACAGCCCGTCAGGTGCGTGTATGGGGATTCCTATATTGAAGGTGAAATTAGTTGTTGAAGGTTCGTAGTAAGTATATGGACTACAATTGTAACCCTGCAGCATATCTTGGAATTCCAACCTTCCTGAAGGCAGTAGGTACATGGCACACGGCTTTCTGTTGTCCGTCGTGAAGTTTACACAAAGTCTTAGTACTTCACTGCCATACTGGACGCCAATCGTCAAACATAACTGCGTACTTCACTCAGACGAGGATGAGTTGTGGGTGGCGGACCTTGGTTCTATTAACACCGTGAGCCCTGGTAAATGGTTTGATTTCAAGAAAATTGGCTGGTATCCAACTTAGCCCCAAAAGATGACTCGTAGTACAATCGCCCAATCTTGGGCGATTGTTCCCGACGTTCTCTCACTCTGAAACTTTGCAACCGCTTTGCTTGTGAATGAGCTACGTGGTTCTGACGTGTATGATCACTATGGTGCCCCATTCATACCAACTTCGTACACCCTTGCGCTACATTTTCAATCTCAGGACACTTTCTTTGATACGATGTTTTCATAGCGATCTTTGGTTGCCGTTTGCAAACATTCAAAATGCATGATCACATTGGTGTCGACTATATCGTACTGATGCACCTCACATCTCAGTCCGACAACTCGACTCTCCCCTTTTATCATTCTGGTCTCTGTTAAGGATCACATGAATACCGAAGGTCGTTTGGTTTGTCCTTCGGTGTAATGTAAGCTTATCTGTGACTTTTTGTAACCTCCACTAGTTAGCGTAAAACGTTGAATCTGGATTCAACTAATGTGAGGTGGATGAGATCTCATCGCATAAAATGTGTCTCTTTAGCCCGGAGGAGGCAGCACGGTACCTTGAAGCATACAAGGCGTTGGAAAACAAGCCTCCTGATGATTTGATGCCTGCCGTGGCAGCGGTTACGGATCATCGAGCCCAAATCACTGAATTTCTAACCGCCGTTCGCCCAGTCACTAAAGCCGATGCCGTATCAGCTATCAATAATTTCAAGGTAGGTTATTTTGACTCAGTTTTTTATTTGCGATTCCAAGCTTTCGATGTGCATCCTCAAAGTTGCCTTATCGGTTAGAAGTCTTAGAGCTATTGTGTCGGAACGTGGAAGTGGGGCACAAATAATTCAAATGGCGTGGGTTTTTTGTATCCTAAGCAAGTATCGTGCCACCATTAAATCCATCTTATGCCACATGACATATTCGGTTGACCATTTATCGTCCTCTGCAATTTCACTTTGTTTCCCTTAATCCTTGCTATATATATCGCCGTTTTTTCAACGTTTTGCACCTTTTATAGCTTCAACCAACAGCTTATCTGGTAACAGGTCAGTAGGAGATGCATATAGAACGTTTAATCTCTCGAGTTGTACCGCATGGTCAAATTGTGCGAACTTAGCTTTCGTAGCAATCCACCATTCATGAAACAACACTGTTACACCATTGTGCGCGTTCGAAGTTATGGTGCAGCGACTTCGCGTCTCTTTTACCGATCGTTCTACTCCGGTAACAGCCCTAAAGGTGAGATAGCTGTGGTTACAGTGCGAGTTTACTGATCGGACGGTCCGTGGTCCGAACCCAACCTCTGTCTCTCAACTTCCCGTTTAGGCTTGGGCAACCTGGAAGTACCCCACCCTTGTGCTTCCTTTGGGTGGCAGGGCAGCTATGCACTGAAAGTGTTACAGCTGAACGATTTTTACCAATGCCAGCCAAGATTATCAGTCGATGGTTTGTATATACTCCATGATACGCGTTTTTTATTGGAGCATTCTCTCCCTTTTGCCTTGAACTACAACCTTCCGCTATCCACGAACAAATTCCACTCTTGTGGAACTCCTAAAGTGATCTTTGTCCAGAGATGGCTTTCATGTGGGGGACAAATTACCAGAGGCGTTGAGCAGTCCCCTACTCATAAGGTTGCTGAAGTCTATTTGACAGCTTACGACGACAGCTTACGAGTTCAGCCCATCTTGGGGCCCATTAGCTACGCATAGTCTCCAGACTTTCATCAAACTCATTTTCAAATTGAACACCAAGTTATATATAGCGGAATGCACTTATTCGCCCATTGCATTGATGTTAAGGACCGGCGTAGCTGAATCTCCCTTTCAAGATATTCTCCAGCCCAAAGGTCGCCTGATGATACGATATTCGACATTTTATTGATAAACCATGCTAATTTTATTCTATGTTGCTTTTATAGTGGAGCTACACTGTTTCCGAAATTTAATGAACTATCTTTGTAATGTACTACTCATAAGGTTGCTGAAAATCCGTCGGCAGATCTGTCAGCAACCTTATGAGTAGTACATCACAAAGATATACATGTATCGCGATATCTCGGATATCGTAGCGACTGAAACATGAGGCAGCCTGGTGCAGCACATTCAGTTGCCTAAGAACATCACAAACGAGAGATTCAGCTGGGTTCCTAGTGAGTCTCTCGAAAAACCAAATTGGTTTGCAATTGAGTGTATATTCGTTAATTAACTGTCGTTTTCTACGAAATTGTCGCGAGGTTATTTTGGCCAGTTCTAGAGCTTATGGCAGAAGGCAATCCATTTACAACGAGAACAGCTGGTTCATACTTATTCAGACATCTCAGTCTTGTTGATGGCATATCCATCAGCGGAGATTTCCGAACAAGTTTAACAGTCCTAACTGACCCGTTTTGTCAGTTGGAGTAGAATTTACTTCATACTTATTTAAACGGAAAGTTACTTTTCATTCCAGTTTGTCAGACAGCTGCATTCCTCAGCTATCCGTGCCACACGTACTGTATCACCTTAGTGTAGGAATGTTTGAGTTCGTCAAAGCAATCTGTGTTGAAATTGTTTTTGTGAAGGGAGGTCGTCTGGACCGTGGTAGGTCTACTGTGCGAACAAAGATTTTTACCGACATGGAATGAGATCACAAAGTCAGATCTCAGTAGCCTTGGTCAACGCCATTGGGCGACACTGTACCGATTTAAGTTTATTAGCAGGGGCCCGCCAACAATGCAAAAACTTCGGCTGCGCTAGATGAACCGCTACCATAGTTGAAGAAGCTAAGTTGGACTATGTAGTATTTTTCCTTGGTTGAGTTAACTTGTTCGGCGTCCAGTGTATTCCGCTGCTCAGCAACAAGAGAATGAGTATGACAAATCGTTCAGCTGTAGCACCCTTTCGGTGCCTAGCTGCCATGTCACCCGAGGGAAACATGAGGTCTCGAAAACTGCCAGGTTAGCCAAACTTTGACAGGAGAAGTCGAGCTGCAGAGGCCGGGTTCCAACCACGGACTTTCCGGTTAGTAAATTCGCGCTATAACCACTGGGTCATCTAACCACCCTTGTTGTATGTAACATTGCGTGGCTGATTGCTGTGGTATGGAATGTGAAATGTCCCACGTAGCATTTCGCACCTAAAATTTGGCCCTTTACAGGCAACCGTAACGGTGGAATTGACACCAGGACACACCATCTCATCAAAGCCTGTAGACGGGCACTGAGGATCGGCCACAAAATGAATGGTCGGCTTTCCACCCCGCAAGTGCAGTCTGCATGCAATGGATGCTCCGGGAACAGACGAAGAATGATTGCGAGTAGAAAACAGTCACGACTAGGACGAACTGAACTGTGCTATTGATAATTACATGTTCTGCCCTAGTAAAAAGATGCCCAACTGATGGTTGGATGATCTCTTCCTGGAGATGGTCTTATCTCGAGTTTTCTTCTTATTTGTTCTGAGAAAGTTTGGGGAGTTGAAAAGCTGTCTTCACGTGGGAGGTTGATTGGAAAGATGATTTTAATGATATCCTAGTGATCTATATGAGATGAAATCATGACAGACGAGCGAAATACTATATGCCAATCACATTCTTCCGGGCAATGTTGCATATCCCGTACAATTACTTGGTGAATCGAGTTGGGTAAACTGGACAAGTATCGGATGTTTTCACACTTGTGATCTGTGATCATCCTTCTTGTTGCAAGTAGCCCTATCTGTCAACTTTGTGCTATCCCGATGTTAGTGTGGAACACACAACACCTTGTGCCATTTCTCAAACGCCATCTGTTGATTCGGTTCGACTGTCTGTGTGCCTATAATTGTCACCTGACCGACATTCTGTCTTTATGTATGATTGAGCCACGTGACACTTATGTTCCACCTTCTCAGTTTTGGACTCGTTACTTGGCGTGTACTCACACGTTTAGTCCTGACTTACTCAACGACTGGGGCACTATCGAAGCAGGTTCACGGAAAGACAAGTGAAGCAGGCAATTAAAGCTTGAAATGAAAATAAGATCCATGGGTTCGGCGATGGCTGCCCAAAGTTGTAGTTTTCCGTACGTTTCTTTTTCGCAATCACTCGCATGTTCTTACTCGTGCGTTCGCTTGCTGTGCGTGACTTTGTCTTGACTACTCCCCACCTTTCTCATGCTCTTCAATTTTACCGTTTGTTCCTAAGACGGTCGCGGATATGATTAATGCTGATGCCGCATCATTGGAGTCTTGTCCTGGCTTCGGTCAACGCAAGGTTAGTAGTAACTCATCAGTTTTCCCATAATGTTGCCCACTTTCTTCTCCTAACCAGGCGCAAAAGTTGTATGAAGTTTTTCGGATGCCGTTTCTACGCGATTCAACCTGATTTCTACTACTTGAATCAATATGTACAGAAAATACACGACTTTGGTTCTCCCAAGTACACTCAGTTGCTTTTGTTCCTACCTTTGACTTCTGGAAAAACCTGGCAATAGCTATTGTGACTAAGGTCCCAAACATAGGCCACCTCTCTTTCCCTATGTGCNATGAAAAAATACCCAAAATGGTTCTACACTCGCAGCAGCGCTGTCCATTCAATTGGCTGAACACAAAATTTATATTTATTGATGCACTGTAGTGGTTTAAAATGAGCTCGTATATCTGTGAATTTCTCGAAATGAGTCGACCTCTGAAAGCACTTATCACTGACCCGCTCATTTAGTTCGGTATCCGTATGCCATCGCCGTTACATTGCTACCATGGTGGTAATTTCGAAGATAATCTCATCAGTCTTCCTTTCGTGAGGGACATTCCCCTCGATCACTGCACTTCTCAAGGCACTTTATAACCGATAATATAATTCAACAACCGACCGACGAGCTCGCAAGACCTCAACGACAAATTACCTGGCAAGATGAAGTGTAGGCTTAGACTAATTCATGTGTCCCGTTGATCAAACAATGAATTTCAGGTCGAAACCACTAGAGGCGTGATTCTCCAACGCGACTTCTTCGAATCATTGGGTCGAATCGCAATCAAACTTTGGCTCGTGTACACGCTAACCTACAATAAAGTCACCGGTATCAGATAGAGACTCTCAAGCGTGACTGTGTCTGTTCTCCGTCTCCGCAGTTTATACTGAATAGCCTGAACAGACGTGATACACTCTACCGCGATGGACTCCTACGGAAGTGATTTAATGTATATGTTCGTTGGAACAAGATCAACTAATTCGAAGTTACTTTATTACAGCGCACACTTTGCACAACGGCCTAATAAAGCGCAGTTATTGGAATGTCTCCTAGTAGGTCAGTCTTGGCTTGGCAACCTTGCAGCATCGCAGCCCTCGTGTTTCTTTTGGGTGGCATGATAGGCATCGAAAGGGTCCTACGGCTGAACTAGTATGATAATTATTATTACAGTATGTCAGCGAGGGATAATCAAACGGGTAAACGCGTCTTCATGTTCCGACTCCTCAGACTAATTTAGGTTCCGAAGCATAAAAAAGCGTCCCAGTTCCTCCTCATCTAAAAGCGGGATTCTAGGTAAATTGTGGCTTTAGTGGCCTGAACTGGCGCTACTGTTTCATGGACATCTTGGTTAAATCATTGGCATGCATGACGCTGACGACGTGTGCACGCTTACGCCGCGCTCGTGGTTTTGTCCGTGTATTGGACTATGTATGAGATTATTCACGATATGCCGAAATAACTAGTCGGACCCGTGCTCGAGGAACCTCGTCAAGTGGCCACTAAACAGGGGGTTGACCAAATCCATAATTGCATGTTACAACTGACTTAATTGAGCCTAACTGATCGATCTCTTAGTGTTCTTCCCCACTTAAATCGTCAAAATAATCTATTTTCATCTACTCTAAAGAGTCTACTTGGTAACCCATCTTGTATTAAAGTTATTAGTTCACTGTGGAGCATGGTCAGCCCAGATTTACGTTCACGGAAAATGTGCGTGGCAAAGGGGACAAAATAATCTGCTCTAACATTGCCGGTAAGAGCTCGAGATGGCTATGGTTAGGATCCAACACCGGCATCTCTATCGATCTTGTCTAGGCTTGGGCAACCTGATACTATCCCGGCCCTCGTGCTTTCTTCGGGTGGCAAGGCAACTAGGCTCCAGAAAGATGTTATGGCTGAACGAAACAACGAAATTCAAGGGAGCGAAATGAGACGCACAGTCTACGAAATTGAGGTCAAGAGCAGGCGGAAAGTCCCGGAGCTTCGTTAACTTTCGACGGCATTTTAACCCTAAAACTTATAACTAGTAGCCGACTATGGGTGACTGGTTTGTGCCTTGTGACGTCTTTTCCATGGAGTTAGACCGTCCCTACTTTACCTTCGACGAAATTGACTAGCTGCAATTCACGCCCGCGTAAAAGCGCCTTTTGTCCGGGCTCACGCTATGATCGTCACAGGATCGCAAACATGCATGAGGTCCCAGCATGTGTACGAACTCAACGTATCGATTTGTTACCACAATTCTGTGCTCATCGTCGTGGCACGATCCAACGCGGAGGGGTCACTTGTTAAAGCAGGGGCACTTGAAGAACAATCGAGCAGAAAGGACAGCATATATATAACCGACATATCAGGGTCCAACCTGAAACGAGCTGAATTTTTGTAATCTAGCCAGTTGCGTCTTACCATGATGTAATATGTAGCCCATGAATGGTCTGACAGCGTCTCCGCTTCAAACATCAACGGATACTAACACTTTAGGTCCACCGCGTTGTGAGTAGTGAACTGACAAAGTGTGGACTCCCAAAGGAAAACAGCGAACACGACGGAAGGGACAAACACTGCATAGGTTCTCAGGAGGAGCCAATAAGGGAAGATCAGTTTCTCTGGCAAACATACTACCCCGAGACAGTTTCATCCATCGAAGACGACGAAATAACTACAGCCTGATAGCAAACGAAACTGGTCGGCCCTAACAACTCCTTCATGTAATGAATCCGTCTTTCCAGAGAAAGAACAGCAAAAAGGTAAATTCCATCCAGCTTACGTCTGTTCACACTCAGAAAAAGTACCATATCAGTAACACTTTAATTCACAAATACACTATTGAGTGGCAACAACACCGTTAATCCGTGATTGTGAATGTGGCAGTTGAAGTTGAAGCATGAATCTCTGAGGCCCCGGTCGCGTTTGACGACAAGCGGTATACCTCTGAATCCGAAGGGACGTGTACCAGGCTACAGTACCCGTTTTGTTCTATGGCTGATAATGGTCTCTGTGAGAAGCCGAACTGGGACGTCTTCATACCTTCAACAACTATTGCCCCAGGAATCACAGCTCACGTGGGCTGGTGTTGGCGAATCCGCAGACAGACAATTGAAAAACGACAACTCGGATTACCACCAAAGAACGTCTCGAGCAAAGAAGCTGCGGTGGTCAGACCATGTATAGCACATGCAGAATCATCGTTTGACGAGAACAACGCGTTTCCGTCCCCATTTCAGAAGGCGCAAGCAGAGATTTGATCCGTTTGGCCTGACAGAGGGAAATGAAGTCGATTACAAGAAGTCTGGATACTGTTGCTCTGCCACACCACTTAGGATAGGCCCGTGATCCTTCCCTCTTGTTTGTTGCTCCAGGCGCTGCAAGATCCCAATGGTGTTGCTGTCAGTTTACCGAGTGTCTGGAGGTGTAGGCACCTCGAAAAGACTGTGTAGGCTAGCACTAAATTCCGTCCACTTTTATTCCTCTTCACAATGCTTTCAATTAGATTATAGTCGTATCGCAGCAAGATGCCGATGTTGAACACTGTGCTTCGCTGCTGCTGCTGCTGCTGATAAATCCCTACTGTATGCACCTCTGATCAGTCTTCTCGCTATTCTTCATGGGAGGGAACTTCCATTACACTGAAACCTTCTTACAATACCAAGCGAATCGCACCTGCTCATTAGACAACTGCAATTTAACATAACTTGGATAGCATATATGTGCTCATTATTTTTTTCCCTATTCATTCTCAAATTACCATTCATCTATGAGCTGGTACTCCTTTGAAACACTCGAATATTGTTTGAAGCAAGATTACCTGCAAATGTTAGTCTGGCGAACGCACGGTTTTCTTTTGGGTGGCTGGCGGGCATGCAGAATGCTCCCACACTACCCACGTCTAGGTACTCTTCCCGTCTTGGAACGGTTGTTCAACTCAGTCAACACGATATTTGAGTTCCAGCTTACAAGCAGTGGATATGTGCTATCGAGCAGGGGTTTTAACCCCATGGAAGAGTGCCACCATTACCATGTCAATGAACACCGGTGGATCAGCGGTAGCAGCGTGCAGACGCCGACGTGGCATGAGATACGTTGTACAGCCGAACTGTAATTATATAGGAACACGGTCCGGCCATAGTGACGGAGCGTGGACAGGACTGTGCAGAGTGACGTGGAGACAGGATAGGCTGTTTTGCTCTGGAACTGGAGCACCAGAACCACTACGTGACAATTACTTCCAGCGTTAACACAACCGGCCAGATGCTTTGTGCCGCATAACATGAGAACAGAATACACTCTTCTAGAGATTTCGCTTAGCGGTCATCGAGCTCACCGACTGGATTGAGTCACCAACGTGTAGACCGTTTTTCCGTGCTATTTCTGGAAGCAAGCACCGTGAGGAGCTTACAGCTCCAAGCGCTCAATCAGACAATCTAGAAAAAACTGGCAGCACAAACGCCACTGATACCGATTAGCCGCCATAACTCCAGTGAAGCGCACGGGTGGTGTCACAGAGACCCATCCTGGAGAAAAGGCCGCACCAATAACACTTAAGGTATTCATAATCTCTTCCACACTGTTCTGCCAAGCCATGAGTTGCCCAACTCGCAGTTCGCACCATTACGAAGGAGGCATGGAGAACAACATTCGTCTCACTAAGCGATGTTTCAACATGCGTAGTGTATGACAAAGCCACAGCAGCTGATAAAGTTGGTTGCCTTTAGCATGATGATTTCTATGTTGTAAACCCCATAAACAACAGGCCCAGGCAGAAAGAAGAGGATAACACAGGAAGAACTAAGTATTCAAGGCGGATCTAGGTATGGAGAAGGGGAGCATAAGGTAGTTAGGAAAGTTACTCAATGCCCAATTCTGAATCGGTGAACGTGGACGAATCTGGGAACACATCTTCGCCCTATTGAAGAAGAAGAAAAGAGTTATGTGAGGAATGAACGCTTACCAACATTGTGTAGCCGTTATTGATAAACTGATAAAACAACCACGTCCAAGACAGTAACATCGCTGCGTGAGCACACTTTTCCGTAAGAGGCTCAGGCTTCCCCTCACCGCGATAGAAGTACCTACAATTTTCATACAATAGCGCGTATGAGAAGAATTGAAACCAAAGTAGACATTTTAAAAGTGATTCGAAAAGGTAAAGTTGTCAAATTATTGGAATCCACATAGAAACGGACTAAGATGTGTGCTCTAGTTGACATGTAGTACATGCCGACTTAGGCAGATCAAGCTCAGACCAAACTTCCTACACTTCACCGCTTACCTCCTGGTCATTGAGTTATGGTTAGTGTATTTTAACAAGTGATGTTACGAGGAGCTTAAAAGAGCTGCTCTACGGGACCAAAGTTGTACAGAGACTTAGTGTTGAGGTTTTACCTGATTCTACCGCAGGAGGTTCTACTTCCTAAGCAAACCACTTCCAAGCGTAGTAAAGTCGCGTGTGTCTGCAATGGGACAATATGGCTTAAAGCAGGGGAGAGCAAGTTGTGTGGGAAACAGATGAATTATATCTAAAGGTATGATGACAAGATAAACGGTTCATGACGAGTGGTGTAGGTGCAAAGACTCGGATACCAGAGTCGGAGTTAAACTAAGAATATTGCAGTAGCATGACCGGATTTACAGAGTGGAAGGCACAAACAAGCGTACGCGCGAACAGGTCGAAGGCAGTGAGCGGACACGCATAATAAACCGGATTACCTAAAAAATGGAGACGCATTCTGAGGATCAATGAGCCAAAAGCAATGCTTGCCTTCCACAAGCTCGTAGTACCGTGATGAATGGCAATCCGCTCATTTTTATCGTTTGAAATATCAAACGAACGTGTAATCTCAGGGTCGTATTTGTCCCTTTTAAGAAGCGAGGAGCGATTCATTATCTACACAGGACGAGTCACATATATCGCCTTCACCCGGTTACGGATCGAAACGAGTACAAATATCATTCGCCGTTTTAATCGAGAGGCCGGAAATAACCTCTCGCGGCACTCGTGCTGTCAGCTCATTTCCAAATTGTCTGATTGGACACTTGGAGTTGTGAGTACCTCAGGATTCTTGCGAAGGGTCGACAACAAATACGCCTTCTCAGCTATGAAGTCTTTGAAGAGCTTACCAAACCAGATCCTGGATGAATGAGTCCTATTCGTTAACTTCCTCATCCGCATAACGCTAAATCCAAGCAACGAGTTGCTGGCGTGTTTGCTTATTATTCACAGTGGATACCATACTTCTCTGAAAAAATCAGTGTGCTTATCAGAAACAAGACTTTCCCCTTCCCGGAGCGTGCACAACAGTCCTTCGTAAATTCGAAGGAATAGGAAAACGCAACTGTTGTGACAGTCGACTACAACGCAGCCTTCGTTGTTGAGACGGACGCCTCACACATAGCCATCACTGCATTTCTGACTCAGAACGGCCGGTCGGTGACCTTCTTTTCTAGAGCACTGACACCGAGCGAAAATCACTGTTATTGAGAAAGAAGCATACGCCATCGTTGAATCCATCGGCAAATAGAAGCATTTTCTCTCCGAGAAGCACTTCAAGCTTATCACCGATAAGCGGTCGGTTTTCTCTATGTACGGTGTGTCTCAGAATAGTAAGATAAAAGACTATAAAACCCAGCGATGAAAAATCGAACTCTCCGCTTTTAGCTACGATGTCAGCTAGAGACCTAGAAAAGAATATGGTGGTTTGTACCTTATCGCGTAACTCGTGCACCTTGTGCCATCCCGGAACTACTCGTATGCACCACTTTGTTCTTTCCAAAAACTTGATTTTTCCCTTCAAAATTTCAAAGGCATCACCACAAAATGTGCGATTTATGCCGCCATCAAACCGCACTTTTACAAACCACCCCCGCTACAATCCTCAAAGCGACTCAACCATTCGAAAGCGTTAGCGTCGGGTTTAAAGGGCCTCTGCTTTCTGCTACTCGAAACCGATATCTCCTTACTATCGTTGAAGAGTTTTTCTGTTTTCCATTTGTCTTCCCCTGCACAAATACCTGTGTATCTACCGTTATTAAATGTCTATGTGAATTATTCTTTGTTTCGTATACCTGCATATGTACATTCGGATCGTGACTCCTCAATCATATCTGACGAACTGTCCAGATTCCTACGTCACACAGGGGTTTGCGCCAGCCGAACGACTGCTTACAATCCCCAGGGGAACGTGCAAGTCGAACGCCTCATCGGGACATTGCGGAACGCAATCCAGCTCAGACTCAAGAAGAAAGGCCTTTATATCTGGTAGTCGGTTTTACCAGATGCCCTCCACTCTGTGTCTCCACAGATACCACTCCACATTGACGAACGTTTCGGTTTGCGCATCGGTCATCCTGAGGTTTATCTATACCAACTTGGCTAACTACTCCAAGGCTTGTTGATCTGAAGCAGATCCGTGGTGTTTCAAAGTATGGAGTTGGACTCATTAACTTCGATTCACATTACGTCCATGTCCGTTTTTCCGGTGGAAGGAAAGGGATTGTAACCGTCCACCATTTCGCTTCTTGTGGTGATCGTACACATGTCAACGAGTTCACAATCACCTCATCTAGTGAAGGCGATGACGTTCATGCACCTCCTCTGTCTGACATGCACGCGTCTCCGCTCAATAACGTTGAAGATAATACCGATGGTACTTCGGTCTCACCCCCATGCCCGGCGATGCATCTGCATCTCCAAACACATATGACCCTGACACCTCTGATTTATCCAGGCTCCAGCAGCATACACGGCCCCGAATTTTAAGGAATCAAGAAGCCTGACCACACTTATCATTACCCCTTAGTGGATTTTTACAATCATTCATTCAGTCCCTGAGTCTGAGTTACCCTTCTCTACATACAATCCAACAGTCCGCGTGAATGTCATGGCTATCCTTTGTGTTTGCATTGTCGTTTCATATGGACCATGCTTTCGCCTTCACTTTCAGCTTACGTACATTTATTCCTAGACAATTAAAGCGCGATTCATTCTACACCATTCAGTCTTGTTCCCGTGTTCAATCAAGATCGATACTCCATCTGTCACAGTCTCTCAGGTCAATGATTGGGCACTTCTGCTTGCGTTACTCCGAAACTGGTTTGCACACCCTTCGGCAAACGATGGTTCGGCATACACAATACATAGCCTAACGAACGCAGTTTCTGGTGCTGGACACATTCCTCAATGGAAATCGCCAATGCGCAACTGAAAACTCGCTTTCTGGTGGCCTCGTTGCAGATTCTCCGACACCAACCTACATGGGCTATGGTCCTAAGACAACGGTTGTTGAAGACGTGGAAACATCTCAGCTCGGATGCTAGAACAGGTCAGGCCTTACAAACATACAAAATATCCAGTAATGTAGTCAGATGCACATTTTCCTCGAGACTCATGAATATACCAGTCTGACGCTATATGCCTCAAATTAGCAAACGCGACCCAAGCCTTGCAGATCCGTGCACTGATCTCATCTGTCACTTCTAAAGGGTGGGCCTATCATCATCACATCATCGACAGCATGACATCAGTGTTCAACACTGATGCTTCACTGCCGTAGGTGGGCCTACAAGGGAAGCGTATGAAAACGTATGTGAAATAAAAGTCCTAACCGACAGACATTCCAGAATCCCAACATATTATATAAACAAGCCAATGTTAAAAGAAAGTAGAAACACGAAGTTCCTTAAATGACACCAATATCGTGCCCACCCCACGTCACATATCCAGAGTCCAAACACAGGCAAGGCCCGAATTACGCGTCGCTGATGAGCTCGAGTCCAGTGCTGTCGTCTTTGAGCTAAAGATGGCTCATGGCGCGAACTTACTAACCGGGAAGTCCATCCTTAGAATCAAACACCGGCTTCTCGACCGCTCTTGTCTAGGCTTGAGCAACCTGGCAGTATCTTAGCCCTCATGCTTTCTTTGGGTGGCATGGCAGTTATGCATCGAAGGCATGTTGAAGCTAAGCGATCATTGCAGTTAATTTCTCCTTTTTATGCCAGAAAATGGGAAGATGAAGCTGAGGACCCACATACCTGAAAGGGCATACAACCTTTACCTGAAGACCTTGGCGAAACCATCGACTGAACCATTAAGACCACTGACTCGATGAATATGATTACGTTTCGATCGCGATAACATGTCAATTATGTAGAACCCGGTACTAATCCCACCGGCGTTTAAAGGAGAAAGTTGCTCCAACCGCTCGAATTAACGGCCATTGAATCTTCTTTCTGTCCTGTCGAAGGCAATGGAATCCATAACATATGGTGAATTCACGAGGCAATGCGGCAGGGATTGCATTCTGTTACTATTGCCACATGACTTTCACCGCGGACACCCGTGAGCAACCAAAGCTAGCCGTCAGGGTCTCGTGGACGATGATCGTCGACGATGCTGAAATAAGTTTTATCCAGTTGGACATCTTTGAGGCATCTGACGGAAGTGAACAAGGGATACTGCAAAACGATGGGATGTGTATTTCAAATTGGAAACAAGACTAATTGCAGAATTGAAACCTGGTCGTCCTAGTAGATGGTGTCTTTTCACATCCGAATTCAGTTATCTGTTGTCATCCAGATTTGGTTATAGGATATCGACCCTCTTCAGTTTCCATAACCCGGTGCCTGGCTGCCATGCCACCCGAAGGAAGCACGAGGGCTTAGATACTTCCAGGTTGCCCAAGCCTGGACAGGTGAAGTCGAGAGGCAGAGATCGGGTTCGAACTACGGATCTTCCAGCCAGTGAATTCGTGCTCTAACCACTTGAGCCATCTCCATCAACTAGTGACCGACGAAGTTACGACCAAACACCACTAGGTTCGTCGACAACGTCAAAGTCTGCCGATCGAATGGAACATGAACAATAGACGGCAACACTTTACGGATGGACCTGGACTGTCTACATCGGCTGAAAATCGAATGACCTACAGTGCTGAAGTACTATGCTCTCTTAGCGTCGCTTATACGCTCAAGGACGAACTTATTCACAGGCCAACTGAAGAAAGGGAATTTCGGAGTCTTGGCGCATGTCCTTGACTGCTTCATAACTTATACCCGGCGTTACAGTTGCCAGTAACCGAAGTCGGGAACCTTATCGTCATCAGCAGAGAAAGAAATAGTAACATCAGTGTTAACACTGACGCTTCACTCCCTTCTGGAACCTATGGCTAAATCGATAAAAAAAAACTCATTGGAACAGCCACGAAGATTAGGCAATTAGTTTCGCCGGTGCCCAGGTAGCGCATATCACAAAACTAGACCTAATTCCCGAAGTGTCCTTCATGAATTATTGGCGACTGGAGATCTCCTAGTGGTTTATCAGCTTTGGAAAACTGCCAACCACTCGTGTCAATTATTACACTCCCTCTACCGAGGTACTTGGCTCAGTGGTTGATGCGCATATTTACTGACCATAAGCTCCGTGGCTCCAACTGCTGCAGTCTAGGTTTTGGTAACCTGAACATTTCTCAGCCCTCGGGCTCAATTCTCATGGCATGGCAGATAGGTCCTGTGTGTCGCAGCTGAACCATTCCAGGATAATCCTCTTGATGGTCGGAGGTATTTTTCATCAGCGTGTCTGCCGCTTTCTGATGACATTTTTTTCTGCGGCTTCCACACATTCATAAGAAAACCAAACTGTTTTGGATGCAGCGAGGTTGACCAATCAACAAAGGCACCGTACTGCTTTTCGTAACTTTTATTCACTGAGAACGAACGGTTCTATATCGTTCCATCCGATGGATTACGTAGGCAATATTCCCTACTTTTCCCATGTTACCCAATCATATAAATTTGCAGGACCTTCACTGAAGTGGTCTTAGAACGTCTTCAATATAAGAAACCCACCAAAAAGGTGGGAGTGAGGAGTGACTTAGTTCATATGTAGGTGAGGTTTGGTTAAGTCCATTCAGTCACGAAACGGTAAATACTGAAGTGTCAGCAAAGGTCATGGAACCCTCAACTCTGAAGAAATTGCGAAACCCTATGACAGGTAGCATACTCTAACCCCACCGCAATGTTTTTGTCCGGGACTACCCCCGGCTAATGAGTCCGCCAGACGACAGAAAATGACAAGAGGCGGTGGAATGACGTTTGAACTTACACAATAGCGACTATGTCGGCTCGAAGACCATCGTCACCGCCTCAGAATTTATTAACCTAAAACGTGCGGCGCAATAAAACTCGTTCGAAGACCTAGAAAATTTCCATTAGCTGGGTCCTATGATGCGATTCACTTTTGTCTGCAATACGGTGGGATGATTTCAGTAATGACGAATCCTGACAGTGCCGCTGATAACAGTTTAGAGGACGTACCTGGCTTCAGAGCCGTAAAACTCATGTTTGGCGGCGCGTGGGGCGGCAAAACGACAACATCTGTTTTCGAGAAGACGAGTTATCAGTGTGAGGCGCGACCGCATTTAAGTGGGCGGCTATCAACACAAACCGGAGTCTGGAGGTCGCTCGTGGGCACAGATTGGACGTTCATTGGTCTGCATTCCCAGCCAACCGGACAACAATCATACTACGGTTTTCGCAAGTTTCGCTCGCAACTAGAGCAGTAGGTTTTCGGTGATCCTTGCTGGACCGAAGAAAACTCTGCTTGATAGTACCGGTAAGAAGTTCGTGATTTCCGATCGCATGCAGTCGGAGTTTTTGAAAATTTACTGCGCGCTTACCCTGTAATGCAATTTTTGACGCAGTTGTAATTAGTCGCACAATGCTAACAGCTGAAAAACCTTTGGGAGTGGAATAAAACCTTTTGCGCCAAAACGTTGCACCTTGTTGTGTATGTGCTGAAAACAAAAACAATTTTGGTCTACGTTCACATTTTCGCGGTTCACCAAATTTCATTGTTCACCGGAACAATCATGCCTCTGGCAGAAATGACTGGTGGAGTAATTTCCCAGCATCGCTGGGACTTCGAGATGCCTGAATGGGGCCCAAAACCTTGGATTGGTATTTGAACTCAGGCACCCGATCGCTTTAGTCCGTTAAGGACACACCATGGCTCAAAAATTATGTTCCATTGTGCGAATACTGACGCCGTATACGGGTGTATCTTCCCTGCATTCAGATTTTCCCGCCACTATCTGTCCGGGAAAACGGATGTGAAAACCTTGCTCTTGCACCTGGAGAAGTGCTACTCCGAGCAGTCATCGTGATAGGGACACCCATTAACATCCGATAACCCGTAAGTTTTATGATGAACTTAAAGCTTTCAGCATATAAACTGCATTCATGGCATGCCATTAAATCGGCAAAAGATGCTAACTCTGGTGTAATTTGTATGTGACCGATTCACATTGGTCAAGTTCTTCAGGTGAGCTGCTTAAAATTGCCTTGGATACATGTTTACTGGCAGCACAGTTTCTCGTTCCAAACGGTGATGCAAAACAGACTGCGCAAGCCCTGAGGGGTGCCAGATAGTTTGGGTCTACAGTTTTTCATTAGCAGCTGCATTTTGTAACGCTTTTGTGCGCGCCTACCATGCGGCGCGAGATGCAACTTTTGTAAGAAGATCACTGTTAATTACGTGACGTAATTATTTGTTTCCCTATTCCTCAGGCTAGTTCATCACCCTTCCGTGACTGCTCAAGTTTCAAGACTGGACCGTTCTATTTTGTACAAAGCCGACTCTACCTCGACCATTTCTATAGACGACTGGTTTACACTTATCCATGGACTTGTTGTTGAAATTTTGTCCCACTTTGAACTGAACAATTTTCCCGCTTAATTTGTCCGATAGCACGCTGCCCTCCTTGTGCCATCCGGTGTTGCTAACTGCCCAAGGTTCAATCTAGCCGTAAGCCTTTCTTTAACTCTCCTCACGATTTACTGTTAATTTCCTATAGAACCACGGTCTACCTATCTGTACTGTCTGCCCAAGTCCAATTCAATATATTGTTCACTGCCCAATTGCGACTACTGAACAAACGCAGGTGAAGTTCGTAGAATTCGGTTTCGCCGCAATTATTACTGACCGTCCGTTGGCGAATTAGACTACACGTTACCTGTTAGATAGGACACCTAGATCGTGCGTTTAGGCTAAGTAACCTATTCCTTGCTTTGAGATCACGGCCTTAGCACAGGATCTTACAATCACTGAGAGTTGGGTGGTTATTAATGAGCTCATTGCCTCACTCTATAAAGCGAATACCTGGTGGTGTTCGCACAGCGCTACGCTCACAGGTCCTCGGGCTCATCTGCCGATTCCTATTGCGTTACGTCCTGTCTCTGACGCCTACTATGTAGCGGTCCCCGAGACATATGTAAAGTGCTTGATGCCTCACAGCAGTGCAGGCAATCTGCGGGCCAGCCACAAGTGAAAGTGCGAATTCATGAACCTATCACCTAACTAGATTATATACTGCATTTAACTTTGTCGAAAGAAGGGCATAGCTCGACTGTCGGATCAAGTTTACAGCGATATTCGGGCGGGTGACCTCACAAGGACTTGCACGTTTTGACGCGTTGAATGCTTCAGATGAAGGCAACATCTAAAGCAGTAATACTAGGATGACAATATAAAATCACGACTTTCAACTTTCTCCTATGTGAAGACCATAATTTGGACTCGCGCACATTTTTCGGGTCTTCGCCTCCGGGATTCTGTGTTTAGGTCAAAGTTAACAGTATTGCAGGGCATTTTTGCGGACCGTTTGGCAACTAGTGGACAGATCAAAGCCCATCAAAGCTGATTTCTCTGCCCTGAGTCTATCGTTTAGTTGAGGTTTACTAGCCCTGGTATCCCGTCACAGATTTTGAACGCCGGTGAAGTGAGAAATAACCTGACAATGTTTGTGGCTTTGGGCTGTTCCGCGGTCTCTATATCTTGTGTTCGCAGCCAGTGAACGAGGCGCTAAATCTCGACAAACTGATGCAAAACAACCCGATCGACAGCTGATAATTTTGGTGCTTTTGTCTATAAGCGCAATGGCTGCCAACAATTTTACTTTCCTTTACAAAATTCAGCCTATATTTGACACTCTGTATTTGTTTTGAGGCTAAGCAAAACAAATCTCTCTTCAATTCCGGGGATTTTGGATAAGCAATGACAACTTCGCATCGAATAGCGAGTCGCTTCAAAAACCAGCTAAACACATAGGTTCTCTAGGTCCCTTACACTAAAGTTTTACTTTAGCTTGCTGGATGAAGATATAATTTTACTTCCTTATTATGGTGTTCACGAGTTTACTGCCTCAATGTTTGGGTGGGTAGACGGATGAAGTAGCGGAAGTTACTTGTAGGGCCAACTGGAAGGTAGGTAGATATTATACGTCGGGTGATTCAGAATGCATGAAGCGCATCGCTTAGGACCGGAAATGTTCTGGAAGCAGACTTCACTCTACTTGCTGGTCCTCATGATCTGAAGCGACTCGTCTTTGGGATCAAAAGGTTTCGGCATGCCAAAGTAACCTTGTTTGGTAAGAGTGGTTGACTTGCTTCATACTAATAATAATAATAATAATGTTTATTCCCAACTAGTGGGTAGCATACCGTCAGACATTATCTTAGTGTTACAGTCAGAATAAGTGCATGACTGATGGGGGTTGCGATTAATGGGAATTTTCTGGAAAGGGGACGGTGACGTAAACAGTGCGCATTAGCGAAGTAGACTTCATCACACCTGAGGTGATATTGATAAGGACCCAAAATTACAATGGCTCTTTATCTCCTATGGAGAATATATCAGACGGCACAAAGTCCGATCAACAGGATTTAAAATGGCGGGCAAAAACGTAGCAAAAATACAAAACAAAAGCCTCAAACTGCAGGAAGTCTGGGGCCAGAATAATGGATCGGAAGGGGCAGCAGCACTGCCACGACATGTCCGGCCAATCTGGACTAAAGCCCGAAACCGTCATTAGGGCTTCATATCCTTGGGCTTTTGGATGTATGGCCACGGAAAGCGTAAGTGGGGATGGTGAAGTGGGGCAATATGCAGTACGGACAAATGGTAGTAGAAAACTCAGAATCACAGTGTGCACGTCGTTACAGCCTTCGAAAATCCTCGCAAACGCCTTGAGTAGTGTCATCATTCTCAACTCCCCTTGGGAAATACCCTTATGCGATGATTACATAGAAGCAGGCCCTAATTCGCATTTTAAGGCATTCGTCAGAGATACTTTAGGGAACAAGGATAAGCGTGGGTAACGGACGGACGACAGAGATATCTAGCTGTGGTTCTGCCAGGATACAGACGGGCCGTTGGGCCATCAGCATTAAATGGAAGCACGTTGCCCCTGAAGCTGTGGCGGACACTTTCATAACGCAGTAGCACGGTTCTTAACGTCTGATGTATTCAAGAAGCGATCATTTTTGATATCTCGCTGTGTTATCAGATCTACAAGGTGGTAAAAACAAAGCAGTCATACGCACAAGTCACACAGTAACAGGCTCCATCCCCCAGGTATTCCACCCCATCGTGGAACACTTGGGGCAATGAAGCGGATAGATAAAACTAATCCAAAGAGCTATCAGCAAGGGATCATTGATTACATTGAATAAGGTTGTAAATAATAGTGAGGTTTGGTCGCATCATAATTATCCGGTTAAAATATTTGGATCTTAGTCGATTTTTGAAAAGTTAACGGCAGCAAGATGATACCTTGCCAGGCTGAGTTTCACAGCCGCAATATGTTTCCGCTTGATTGAGTAATCTGTTTGGTACACAAGTGTGTAGAAACTCAAAAGTATGAAGAAAGCGGTAGGTTTAGTAGTTACAACGTTGTCAAATTATCTCTGTTGACGGTTGGGATTGGCATTTCGGTGGTAGAGCACTGAAATCAAAATGTTGAAGCTTCAGGTCTAATTGGCGCTCCCCTGTGGTTTAAAATCCTAATATGCAGCTTTTGGTGCAATAGATGTAACGAAATCCACTGAATAATCAGGTGACCGGCATTAAAATGTCCATCTTTTATTGAAAGAATGATTACAATATTTGAAGACAAATTTACATGAGTTCGACAGCAGAATTAAATCACTCAAGAAGGGTGTCAACGTTTTGTTGGGATAGTTCTTTACACTTGTCCGAACGCAGTTGCAACTTTTCTTTACGATTTCCGCGAATTGTTCACGGGCTGCGTGACGTAGTTGCGTCGTCCATTAACACCGGGTCTATTGGCGCATGTGCTGATTGTGCTGTGTCTTCGTATAAGTGGGAATGCTAGAGGTGTTCGAACCCTTATAAAACCGTTCTGACGTCACCAGAGATGCTGGCGTATCACCCGTCAGCGATGTATGCAAGGCAGAATTTTGCTTCATAACTCTTGTGCTTATGGAACAGACAAAACAAGTGATCTAGTAAGCGACTTGCTAGAGGTTTCGAACCCTTATAAAACCGTTCTGACGTCACCAGAGATGCTGGCGTATCACCCGTCAGCGATGTATGCAAGGCAGAATTTTGCTTCATAACTCTTGTGCTTATGGAACAGACAAAACAAGTGATCTAGTAAGCGACTTA